GCACGCAGCCTGTGAAAGAAAAAAAACAGCCTACAGATCCATGCAGCAGGCTTTTTCATCATGCCCCCAAATCAGGCTGGATGTGAGGACAGCCGGAGGCAAATCCAAAAAAACCCACCTTTAAGACACTAGGTCGTGCAAAAAATAATAGCATGACTCTGCTTATTGCACCCCCACCCCTCCTCCTCCTCCTCTCTGGTCTCAGGAACGCAGGACAAGCCCTTTTCCCCGCATTCAAGGCGTAACGGCGCAAAAATAATCTGAAGGACACCCCGCCTCCCCCTTTCCCTCACCTGGCATATCGTCTTCAAAATCCATGTCGTCTTGTCCCTCGTCTTCATTACTCAGGGACCCCGGCATCTTTATCTCATAGCCCCCAAACCCCCTTTTAGACTGAGAATACTGAAAGTTAACCCTCCAGACGCCGCAGCTCAGTCTCTTTCTTCACCCAAAAAGAAATGTATTCGTCGCTCAGTTTTTTAAAAAAAATGCAGTGAATCTGGGGCACGCTATCTCTGTCCAGGAGTGAAAAATATAAAATAACATTTACATTTTTTTCTACTGATCTCTATCCAGGTCTCCCAGTCTGAAAAATAAGAAAGACAAAAATGGAACACACATGCCCAGATTGTGACGTCTGGTCTGTTGCCATGACGATACATCCCATAATTTCACCCACAACTAGTTAGTCATGCCTTCCTAGTTACCACTTTAACTAGTAGTGTGCAAAAAAAAAAAAAAAAAAACACCGTGCGGCATCGCCATGTGCCGCTAATAGTCGGATCCACTCCCGCGCCTGTCGCCTTCCCATTTCCTTTTGGAAGTCCGGAGAATTGAGGCAGAAACTTCTTCTCACACAGCTGTTCATGCACAAGCTTTGCTCTAATTACGAAGCCATGCTGTAAATGGGAAATAACATTTATTTCTCCTGAAGGGAAAATGTTTGTCAATTAATATTTTTGGGGGTCTAATTGAATTAATGCCATAGGGACGACCTGTCTCAAAATATGTGGCTTCATTTTGCAAACTTCCACTCCCCCCCCCCACCCCAAGACAACAACCCGATGACTGCATGCTGTGAGAGAAGTCCTGACTGCCAGTGGTCTAACAGTTGTCAAGGTTACCACAGCTGTAACACAAGATACCCCGCAGAGAGCTCACTGGAGACAGCACGTGAGTTTCAACTTCACTTCATGTCAGAAATACACAAGAGCTGGAAGTGTCCCGACTGCACATGCTGCAATGGTGCTTTTTCACTGTGGTCATTTTCCAATTACTTATAATCAGTATAATTGTTGTTTATCATACGTTTTTCTCTATTAACAAAATGCACCTATGTATACTTTTACATTTTGTTCATTAAATTAGCTTTGACACAGATTTCTGTACATATGGCACCAAAGGAAAATAACGTTTTCTCATTGATGATCAATTCATGTAAATGTACCAAAGAAGACAAATTTAAATACTCTTAATGGCCAGTTTTAATTATGCATCAAAAATTATTTTCTAAAAACACATTCATCTGGTATGTACTGTGCATAAGCAACTGTGCTGTGTAATGCAAAGAAAAAACAATTAAAGCTTAATAAAAAAAATAATAAAAAAGACAGATTTTCTTTCCTCATTTGAAATTTTATTAAAAGTGGTGTCAGATTTAATCTTCATCCTCCTCCTCCTCTTCGTCCTGGTTGATCTGGAAGTAGCGCAACTCATAGCTCTCCTTGGTGTTGGCCACGACCCGCAGCCAGTCCCTGAGGTTGTTCTTTTTCAGATACTTCTTGGTAAGATACTTCAAGTACCTGACAGAGACGAGGAGAATGGAGAAAACATTACAGAAAAATCTGTCAAAAATAGGTCATACATAGATTATCCCTATAATTCAGCTACCAAAGTGTGGACTGCTAGCTGGAGAGGTGCCAGTTCACCTCCTGGGCACTGCCGCTCTGCCATATTGCAGGGCATGTGTAAAATGTATGTAATACCAGAGTGTAAAAAACTGACTTTCCGTTAGAGGGATTAATAAAGTTGTATTCTTTTCTATTCACTTTGACTCTACACCAGAGTTTGCAGGGATAAGGCTGATAATAACATGCAATAATATGCATTTAGCCATAATGCAATAAAATCCTAATTTAATTACAAAATTGGGTAAAGCAAGTTTTTTGTATTATGGATTATTAACTGGCCTGAAATGACATACAGGTCAATTCAAATAAGAAAAGCTGTTTCCAGATCTGGGGTTCTCAGGACTTATTACCTTCAAGCACACGGATTAAGCAAGTATTGTTTGTCACTTGCAGATATGCAGTGTATGTATAATTGAATCAATCTGAGCATAATATGGCAGACCTACTTTACACAGATTAATTACAGTGGAAATAATAGTAACACCTCAGTCATAATATTAAGAGCTCCAATTAAGAAAGATAGTGTTAGAGTCACCCTCTGGTGGTGGTGTTCCTAGCTCAGACTGAAATAGTCGTCATGCACCTGTTTATTCTTGTCAATTCTTTGAATTAGTTTATGCAGATCATCTTGACTTCTCTTCGTATATGTTTTAACTTAGCCAGTGCACTGACTGTTACAGTAGTAGACTTTTACCCACTTAACCTTTGCAGTATATACACAGAATGAGTTAAAATGGACTTTGTTGGTGGTACTCGAAGTGTTGAAATACAAATAAGTTGCTCAACAGCAACATCTCTTTGCTGATGAAATTGAGACAAAAACATTTTGACACCTCAGTGCTTTGATTTCAGGGGGTCATTTATATGTTCCTCCTGTGTCCCCTAGATATACATGACACATACTGGGAACATGACAATGACCCCCAGTTCTAGGGTTAGAAGCACAGGAACCTGCGAACATAGATACACTCCTGATTTCAGGGCCCTGTTATTGTGCATGCTGGCTCACTGTCACAGCTTAGCTGGGACAACTGAACAGAACCATGCTTTTCCTGCTATATCAAGTCAGTCTGCTGTAAATAAGGCTTTTTAAAATTTTATTTTGTTGTTTGTTACTGTTCCTTCAATAGAGTAGTTCCTGATGGAAAACAAAATCCCACTTATTGTATTGGGCTGGTGGCACAAGCCTCTGCAGAAAAGATTTGTACAAATAAAGCCCCACTGACTGCACAGCTAGATACCACTATGAAGTCCACAAATTATCCCAATCTCCCATTTCCACAAGCTAAAAGTAAAAGATTAAATGGAAAAGACAGAAATATCTGAGATACAGTATTTTCTGCCCATCCCAAAGTGTATGAAAGTAGATAAACTTAAGTTTCCCCAAGGGTAATTAGCTGTTTTTTTCTCCCTCACCACATCAAGCTGGTGTGTGGTGAGCGTTCTGGTGCAAAATGGCTGCCGTGCATCACCCAAGTTGGTGCTACACATTGGTGGTGGTTGAGGGTAGATTCCCACCCCTTTCCTCTGAAGCGCTCCATTATTATTATTATTATTATATTAGTATCAGGTGTACCTCACAGTCCTTAGGCATTTAATGCCTGAACCACAGGCAAAACCACACTTATTCTATCAATGCTGAAACTCAAAACAGTTTGCTTCGTGCATTAGAAAGGAACCTTTAACCATTCTTCATCACATCTGTGGTAAAGGCAAAACTGAAGAAAAGTAGATGATGTTAAGTAATTTTTTTTAAACATGTTTTTCAGGCTTAGTTCTCAACCTCTCACACACAGCTTCCATTTAGTGGTAAACCACAAACTTTTACAGGCAACATTTGAAGTCTCCAAGAGTGAGTAATAAGAAGACACATTTCAGGCGGAGTACGACTACGACTTGCAAAAACACCATATCAAATTAGATAGGTTTATGTATAGTGACATTTTGTCACCGGTTATTACTTGACTGATAAGAGTCGCATTGTGTTTAGTACCTCTTTGAGAAGGGAACTTCAGAGTTGACCGAGATTTTACTCTTGCTCCTTTCAATAGACACCACACCACCGCCAAGGTTTCCAGCTTTGCCGTTCACCTTGATGCGCTCCTGCAGGAACTGTTCCTGTTAAGTGTAAGGTCACAGCAGGTCACACACAGCAGCCTTAATTTCATTTCAAAAGGTGTCAGATGTACAGGTAAAAACTCTTCCAAGTACTGACAGGTGACACATTGTTAGTTTCTATTAAAACCACACTGGATTATGTCTTTCTTTCTACTGTGAACTGACAGCAACCATCAAATACAGTGACTCGGGATTGATCCCACTGATATGACAGCAGTGTTTGACACTCAGTGCTCTTGACTGACAGTGTTGCACGCTGTTTAACACACAAGGTGTCTGAACTGGTCTACTCACAAAGTTTGCAGCATCCATGATGCCATCCTCTACAGGGTGAGTGCAGTCCAGGGTAAACTTCAGGATCTGCTTCTTCCTCTTCCCACCCTGCTTCTTGACCACCTGCTTTTTCTAGCACAGACATTGAGAGGGTTCAAAAACTCATACAGACAACCATCGCCACATAATGTAACTTAAAAAACTGTTATTGTAACACAGGCGAAATAAAATTGCCAATTATGTCGAAATATCATAAGTGATAAGCTGTTTTTTCTGTACTTCACATAAAACTTCACTCCTGATGTTCCCCGATGACTACTGCTAGCTATCGTTAGCATTCTCGTTAGCAGTTAGCCCAACGTGGTGTTAGACGACACAGTAAACAAAGCTAAATAAAAAGGCTAAACCATCCGTGGCTCCTCTGTTGCTGTACACTAGAGATTTACGCTTCTACGAATGCGAAAGACAAGTTAAAACACATCGTCTGTATGTAGTTTATTTGATCGTTTCACTACTCACAATCGGGGCCATGGCTACGAATTTCAGCAAAAAGGAAGGAGAAAAGGCTGCGCAGGAAGTATAAAACCCGGCCGCAAAATCGATCGCATCGATTTATCTGGCATTGATTAAGCGGTTTGTGGATTCATTTGTACTGTTTATAATTACGACCCAGTTATCGTGCGTGTTAAATATATATTAATATGTTAAATTTAACGTTATAGTTATTTAATTAACTTTAACAGCAGACACATGTAGCCTACAGTATCAAACAAACCGATCAATTATAACATCAAAGGAGTGAGCAAACTCCATCCTGATGAAGAGGTGAGCTGAAAGTGTTTGAAAAAGCTAATTAAGTGCAACTTGAGTCTCCATTATTTGGTAACGCTTATTTTCCATCGCTAATTTCCTAATAATGTCTAAAGGGTTTCCTGTTAAAGACTGGACATTGGAACAAATTATAAGGAAAACAGATGAACTAGTTACAATTAATTGTACGTTAACCCTGGGAGTCAGTGCACAGCAGCAGTTCAGCTTAAAATGAAATGCTATTTGTCTAAGCATAAACGAACATTAAATGAAGGATTAGTTAATATTTAACTGGGTTTAAACTAAACAGTTTATTTATTACTAAATTACATAGTTTTAAATTATTAGATAGCGATGAACTGGTTACCTGTTATTTTATCAGATGTATCAAACAGTTTCATTCACCACAGTTTCACTATCAAGATTTTCACATTTTTACTCTTAAATTAGTATTTTATGTATTTTTCTTTAGTAAGAAAGTATTGTTATCGCTTTTATGCAGCATAATAATACCAAGTTTAATTTATGTAGCACTACTCTAAAACGCAAAGGGCTTTGAAGGAATTAAAATAATTCTTTCTGTGACAAGTTTAAGTGTGAACAGGTTCAACGATTTGCAATGTTATAATTTCCACCCCTCACCCACCATCCACCCTGCCTTCGAGTCCAAGACATAACAACAGAGTGACATTAGAAATAGGACAACTGTATTTTTAATCTGTGTGGGACAGCAATATTAAATGTCCCTTTTGCACAGCCCCCAAGTGTTGCACTGGCAGCACTTGGGGGCTGGCATGAAGTGTGTGCCGTCAGCTGCCTGGCGGAGGGACCCCATCAGACCACTATTGAAGAGTTTCTGCATTGCTCTCATTCCTGCTGGGGGTAGCTGATAACACCACTGAAAGGTAAGACAGTGGCTCTCTGGGCTTTCTGCAGACTGGCCTATTGCATTTACAGTTGGATCTGTCGGCTGGATAAAATGTTGGTGCTGATAATGTCTTTAATGTTATTCATTTGCCTTCTTTGGATTGTGTGTTGTTACTGAAGCCCTGAGCACTCACAACGCATCTGACAAGGTAAGAGAGAAACTGCTCCTCTTGTTTGTTTGTTTTTTTAACACCTGACTCCCTCGATCAAAGTCTGCTTTCTCTTATAATAACTGGAACGATTGGAACATAACACATGTTAAAACTTTTGTGTTCAGTGATGTGATGATGGGACTTTTAAAACTTGTCAATCAAGTGATACTGCCATTATTCACATACTCTGTTTGCAGATGGCAGGAGGAATCTTCACCAACTTGGAAAATATCTGTAATGTGGATTGTACGAATGTCCACCCCCTGGTTTGTCACCTGTGCCATGAGCAGTACCAGTCCCCGTGTTTGTTGGACTGCTACCACATCTTCTGTGCCCGCTGCCTACGAGGCCGGACCAATGACAGCCGTCTCAGCTGCCCCCTCTGTGGGTAAGAGATAGCAGTGTGACTTATTTAGGATGCATATAGATGATCAAACCAAGTTTCTGAACTAGAAATGGATGTTCAACACAGTGTTTTGTGTCTGCATAGGATATCTGAGCCTGGACATCACACGTGTGGTACTAAGCCATAAATCCCTAAACAAACAGAAAATATGGAGTCCAAAGGTCAAGGACTGGCTGGTTGGGTGGCTTATAGACACAATCAGTTTGGATTACAACCTCACACAGCTTGTTTCATGACGAACATTTGGTGATGCTGTGTGATGAGCAGGTGATTTCAAACGGCTCATACATGATTAAGCTGTTTAATTTTTTTTTTCTGTGAATCCCCACTGAGGGTCAAACGTTTTGTGTGAAAAGCCATATTTTCCCCAAAGGCCCCTGTTTTGGGCAGCATTGCTCAAAGGGATTCGTTCCACATAAGTTGATTAGTAGATTGGTCTGGTTCATGCAGGAGATTTGAGGGGAATCCCATTGGTTTCAGAGAGCATCAAGTCTCTCTGTTTTGGTTTGAGGGTGCAGCTCAGTGACCCATTGCTGGCCTGGTCGTGGTAGAACAGGCATGAGTGGCTGGAGCAGCTGCAGGGTCATCCCGGATTCTGATTTAGTCCTTGGCCCCAGCGCTCAGCGGGGCTGGCAAGTTTCTCTAAGACCAGTCACACAGCAAACAAAGCATACTGGTATTTGGAACTGGTGCCAGCAGCTTAGGGCAATCAAAGGCAGTCGCATGACACCAATCCATTTCATCCCCTATTAAGGAATGACTCATGGTTAATAGTCACCTTCAGGTCTGGAGTATTCACTTTGCCCCATTAAAGCATAAAGGGATGTATAGTAAAGGACCTCTACTGCAAGTGAAGTTATTATACCAGCAGTTTTTTCTTGTGTCAGATACATGACCCAGATTTTTTCATTTCTCTTGTGTGTGGAGAAAGAGAATCAAACAGCAATGCTGAGTTTCAATTTCACTGCATTGTTCTCAACTGTTCATGTGTTGTCCCGTAGATACAGTTTCATTGACAGGATTGATTAACTTTATCATCCCAGAGGGAAATTGGTTTGCAGGTTGGGCACAATAAAAAAAAAAAGACATAGTTTACACATGGCAGACACCCACAGGAAACAGTACACAATACACAGCACCACCATGCAGTGCTTCTAAAGTATAGAGATTTAATATGAAAAAACTGATGTTAATCACACTGAGAACTGATTTAAAATACCATAATCATCCCTGATGAGCTCCTGGGTTCTACTTTTGCTCAGTCATAACTATGTTTTTAAAACAGTGTTTCTGCTCAGGCTATATAGTGTATGTTTTAATGCATAATCGCCCACATTCTTTAGACATGCTGGGACTACACTGTGAGCTAACTGTAAATTAAATAGAATGATAAAATGACCTAGACAAATTGGCTGAACCTCAATCGACTCCCACATATATCTACCTCATAGCTATTTAATATGAACCTGTGTTGGGGTAGATAATGTCCACTAGTCAGCTGTATAAATCAACAGCGGTGCTTTTATTCATAGCACATGAAACTGAGAAGTGAGGAGGGAAAACCCAGGAAATCATTGGTTTTCTATGGAAATAACCCGGTGAGCAGGGAGCTGCTGTGCTCTGCTGCCTGGCAGCGACTATTTCCATCGGCAGCAGCAGTCTGCTAACAGCTGCTCACTCAAGAACCGCGTAATCTAGGAATTCACTACTCTGCTATTAGTAGAACACAATAGATCCCCGTTGCTATGAAAACTAGATAGAACAGGCACAGCAGACAGGGGTGAGGAACATTTGTGTCACTTCAACTGAATCATAATGAGGCAAACAGCATTATGTTTAAAGCAAACAGGCCTGTGCAAATGGGGCTAATGTGACAGAAACTGGCCTCTGCATCTGCCAGTGTTGTCCGTTCTACCTGAGATCAAAAGGTCATTGTGCACACGTCTTTGGTCTAACAAGAATTGGCTCTTTAAAATCAGGACTAGGCAAGCTTCTGTTTAATAAACAATTAGTCAGTCAAGACAAAAGTATTTGACTGTTTTGAGTTTTTCATTTTAGCTGTTATTGCCTCCTGAAACATGGAGATTTGCTGCTTTTCTGGTATTTTGTTCTTCTCTTGTCATCTCAGGGTTTTGGATTGATGGTTAAATAAAAGAAGGAATTTAAAGAATTTTTTTTACTGTTTTCTGATAAAATGATTAATTGATAAAGATCCAAAAATTGTCATGTAAATCTGTAAAAAGCACCTAGAATCTAAATGAAGTCTTTTTTCATAGAGAAGTTTCAACTCACTGACTGTTCCTCAGACTAATTATGCAGATTAGTGCAGAAAATTAGTATTTGAATCTAAGTCAACAGATAACATTACACACTGTCTTTCAACATCTGCCAATTCAAAAAGCAGAGCCAAACTGTCAATTTAGATAACACTTTATTCAGATGATGTCATGCTTACAGGTGTGTAAAAAGATTAATTTGTCACACAGGATGTGGTCCTCAGAGAAAAAAAAACCTTTAAGTCAGAGATGACACAGTGCCATCTTCTGGGATGTCACAAGAATGCAATAACCAAGGAGTTAAAGAATTTACCTTTAACAGCAGCTTACATGTTTTTATGTTTAATTTGTTTCCAATGCACATTTAGATAACTTATAATTCCTCTCACTGATTAATATACTTATGGAAACAACCATTCACCCAGTGTTTAACATAAAATGTATGAAAATGGGACAAAATATGGAGCGATATAATTACACTGGGTTTTTGACAAGACATTATCAACTGACTGAGTCCTTTCAGCTTGTGCTGGCGGTTCATTTCTCAGCGGTTCATTTATCGTCTTGATATCCCTCAGTCTTCATCTGATTCAGACCTAGGTCTTCATTCTGCTCAAACGTGCGGGTGTACTTCTCAACAGTCATCTCGGGATCTGGCTCCGGGGCGTACACATTCTGCAAATAGCTGTTCCCTGCCGGGTCATCCAGGATGAAGTGGACATTCATTTTTCCAGCCATAATGTTGTCTATTTTTTCCCCAAAGTCACTCAGCTTCTGTACCCGATCTGTTGTGCTACTGTCACCGCAGGTGAAGGGGTTTTTGGAGACAATCAGATCTTTGATGTCCTTCAGCAGCCCCTCCAGAGTGGTGAACTTTCCACCCACAGCTGCCATCCCCAGCTCAAACTCCAGCTCTGGAATGATGATGCCACACGTCTCTGACTTGAGCACGTCTCGGGTCATGTCTGATATGTCGGTGATGTGAAGGGAGATTTTGGTGCCCAGCTCCTCTGTGGCTCCACCTGATTTCACCTCATTGGTCCGATGGCCACAGCTGTCACAGTTAGTCGCCATTATGATGACCTCCTTGAAGTGAGGGATCTGGACAAGCTTCATATTGGTTGAGGCCGGCGCGTTGCATTCTGGGCAGTTGGTGTTGAAGACCAAAACCTCATCTCTCATGGCCTCCAGGTTGTTGCTAGCTGGTTCCTTGTCCAAGTCCTCTTCCAAATCATCGTCAGCCCTTAATCCCAGCAGCATATCCTGCTGGATCGTCCGCGTGAACCGGGACACAGTGAGAGCCTCATCTTTCTGAGGGGCGGCAGGATTTTCCACAAAACTGTTGCCAGATGGATCCTCAATCACTAGTGTGAATTCGTCTTCAACCTCTTTTAACTTCCTCAACTTCTGGATGAATTCATGTATCTTTTCAGCCATCTCAGGGTCAACTTCTCGACGGACACGCTGGTCTTGTTCCAACCCTGCAACTGCTCGGTCTAAAAGGCCCTCAATGGTACTAAGTGCGCCTTTCTGGGTGAAGGGAGGGATTTCAAAATCCAGTTCAGGGATCCTGGTCGTCGCACTGTCTGATTTCACAACCTCCCGGTTCAAGTCCTCTTTTGTTTTGACTTTCAGAGTGTAACAAATGCCTTGATCCTGAATCCGGCCTGCAGACTGGACTTCGGTGTTTGACCAGGCGCAGTTGTCACATCTGAAAGAACTGACGATGATTTCTTTAAAGAAGGGTATTTTGGTCATGAGTAACCGTGTCATACCATTCTTAAAGCAGTTCATACACAGGCTCTCGATTTCAGTAGGCTCCCAGTCGCCGTCTTCAGCGCCAATATCTTTAAAAACGCTCCCACCTCGCACATTTTCCTCTCCAATCGCAGACATTTTCAACGTCGAATATGTGTCCCCAGTAGACTTAGATGCGTTCTTGCTTAGTCGTATATTTTTCTGGAACTTTCTACTTATCACACTTTCACCTACGCACACGCTTGCTTCGTCGTGTTTGACAGCCTCTTCCGCATTATCTTCTTCTACGGCGGCGGTGTCCCGGACGCCACTGCTGCCCCCTCAGGTTTCCTGCAGTACTGTTTTCTTCTTTATGAAATTAATGCTTATTTTTGTCTTCTATTTTATTTTACAGGTTTTAAATCTAATATAATGTATGTGTGTCTTTTTATATTGCTCGGTGCACAGATTTGAATTGCCTTGTTATTGAAAGAGGTTATTCAAATACATTTTCCTTTTTAAAAGGCAGCAAATATTTTCATATTTGTGAATTCAGTGGCGATGCCTTATAGATTTGTCCAGCAGTGGAGGGCATGCTGTGTTGTTAGACAGATTTGGTTATACCAGAGTTAGCTTGTGCTTTCAGTTTAAACTGTTTATGTGAAAAACTAATATTTCACTGCTATGATTTTTTTCCATCAATGTTTGTTTGTTGTTGCTACTTGTTTCTTTTTCTTTTTAAATGCTGTGAAATCCAAACTTGAGATCTGTGGTTGCCCTTGGAATGGATTGAATTTGCTTTGGATTTTAAATTTCTTGACATATGACGTATAATCTATTCATAAACACAAATTAGTTACCTTGTTAACTAATATAAAAAAATACATTTGCTAGCTTTTCCTCATTGAAAAATCAAATCTATGAATACATAAACACTGTTCATTTCAAAAGTTTTAACTACTATCTTCACTGGAAATTTGACGTTTCTACATCACATTTCTGTATATTGAACCACGGGCATCCAAACTTTTCTCTAAACAAATCACTCAGGCTGTCTGATTGTCTGTCTTTGCCACAGTTACCCATCCATAGTAAAAGGAAATAGCGCCCTCCCTCCAGAGGACCGTCTGCTCAAATTCCTGGTCGACAACAATGCGGACGCTGAGGAGACGGTGCAGTGTGCCAACTGTGACCAGGAAAGTAACAAAAAGGTACAAACTGACAGACTGACCCACATGAATTCACATTCAAACAGTGGGCTTGCATTTTCAAAAACATGATTACATCATAGAAAGATATTGAAAAAATATACAGATGTTAGAAATTAATGTACACATACAGTATGTACAATAAGGAAGTGTTGGGGGCTCACAATAGCACAGGAAGTATGCCAGAAATCATGTTAAGCAAAACATCATTACTGCAGAGAGCATGTGAGTCCTGTATTGCTTTATGTCTCTGAGGACATAAGAGAGAAATTTAAGGTTAAACAAGGATGAATCCAGACTTTTAATTAGGGCATTAAAGTCATTATGTTGATTTTTTTTTAAAGTAATTATGACCTCTTTCAAATTTTTTTGATGTCACAAGTTTTTGTTTGTAAGGAAATGAGATAATCCTGATAAACATGAGTGCAGTTTCTATATCTTTCTCAGTGTTCAAATCCCATTCTGCCACAATGTCTTTTTTTGATGCTGTCACTGGGGGAGCGCCAAAGTCAGAGTTTTTAAAATTACACACATAATTTGCCTTGTGTAGCCTTAAACAATATGAAACATAAACATCTCCCCACTTTGTCTTTCAGTTGCATTTTCTATTATTTTCTTCCATACAGGAGGCAGGGGTGATGTTCTATTGTAACACTTGTAACCAGCCACTGTGCGCCGCCTGCAGAGAGTTGACTCACAAGGCCAGAATGTTTTCCCACCATGAGATTGTATCCCTGGCCAAACGAACCAAAGCCAAACACAGAAAGTGCTGTGAGTGCCACCTGTAATTTACTCCAGAAGATTTGCAGGCCCACAAGACGTTATTACGCAAGGGCAGAAACATGTTGCTCATGTGAGGAGTAGTCCCTCCTGTGTTCTGCTTACATTTCCAAGACTTAAGAAAGTAGTATGAAAAACTTGGTAAACATCAGTCGTTCTGTGTTTGTATTCTGAAAGCTCTCGTTTTTCACTAACCTGCATCACTGGAAAAACTGAATACTCTCACAGTCCGGTGGGCTGAAGTTAAAAGGCATCACTGTCTCCACAGCTCTTCATGAGGAGCCCTACATCCTGTTCTCAACAGAGAATAAGTCAATGCTTTGCATCAAGTGCTTCCGAGACACACAAGTGTGAGTGAATCCTCTCAAAATGTATGACAGTTAGAAGTCCTTGTCTTGTCTTGTCTCTCTTCTCTTCTCTTCTCCACATTAAATTAGTTGTTGTTTGTTTACAACAGGGAGAGTCGGACTCACTGCATTGATATTGAAACAGCTTACGTGCAGGGGTGTGAGATGTTGGACCAGGCTGTACTGGTGAGAGAGTCATGTCTGTTCATATACACGTTTGTCATTGTAAATAATTCAAGCACTCAGCAGGGGTAATGATATTATGAAATGTGGTGCAGGTGCACCCAGAATGTGTGTAGCTCATTACAATCCAATTTGAATCTATTAACATAAAGGAGGACTATTTTTTAACAATATTTTGAGCATTGATTAATTAATTACGGTTAAATACAAATAACTGCTCATAGTTGTGCTTTGGGTGTTCTGTGTCAAAACCATACAGAAGTGTAAAATAATGAAACAGGCAGTACTGGAAATTATGATCTTCATTGTGACAAGCTTTATTTACTATACAGCAAAGTAGCCTCAACTATGCACTATACATGTTTCAGCTTGAAGTTCTGATTGAGGCTCTGATGACAAATGTGTGGCAGTGCAGCAGCCTGCATGGCCTTTCAGTGACAGCAAACCTCCTCTTCCATCCGTAGGTGGTGAAGGAGCTGCAGACTTCAGCTCGAGAGGCGATTGTTCTGCTGAGAGCAATGATAGGAGAAGTGTGTCTGAATGTGGAGGAAGAAGAGAGTGCAATCTGTAGTCTGTTCAACAGCTTGCAGGTTATGTAATGTTCCTGACTGTTCCCTTTTCCCCTAATCGTGCTACTATACACACACACAGACACACATAGTATGTGAGTATATCAATATACTGTGTGATGGCAGGTGTGGTTAACCATTAAACCAAAATCTATCTCTATCTAATCTAATTCAGACATCTTGGGGTCAGTTTGAAGTTTAAAGAAGTAATAATTCTCCTGTGGATAAAAAAGGTATCCATGTCCTCTTCCTCTTAGGGTTCTAATATGCTTGATGCCGACACTTCGACCTGGAAGATCTGAATTTGATCAAAATGTCAAATTAAATAAGTTTGTGGTTTGAAATCAGTGTGCAGACTACTCTTTTCATAAATGCTGATTTCCTATAACATTGCACCTAAATGTGATGTATGTGCAGTATAACTACACTTCCTCTAGTGTTTTCCCTACAAAAGTTAACTGTCATTTCAAACAGCTACTGTTAAGTAGCATTGCGACATTACACATGATTTACCACATCAGATTTGTTTATAAGATTGTAAGATTCAAATTTTTTCTGAACTCAGTCTGAAGTTTGTGTGCAAGTTGTTACATCTGACAACATTTGCACTGCCTGGCCACTGGATGTCTCTGTTAACCTAATTGTGAGAAAAGAGTGTATTTTCTCAACATAATGAACAATCAAAGAGAGCAGAGACCACACTGATGAATTTTCACTATTTTCCCCCACAGTCTCGAAAATTCATTAGGTATAGAGAGCTCAAGGCCATTTTCACAGCAGTGTATGAAATAAAGGGGTTTGTTTTCTCTGTTCTCATCTGACAGGAAAAACTAGCAGAGAGGAAGAAGATCCTCCTGAAAGCAGCTCAGAGGTAAAATAAAAAGATGTATAGTTCCTATATGAAAATGCTGCTTTGTTGCCTCACAGCTCATAATATTTACCAAATTGAATGCTATTATCCTGCTGTCACCATGTCACTTGATAGTTTTTCCATTATATCATGCTGCATTGTACTCATGGTGATGAATAGCAGCACCCTGTTTGCTCTGGAATAATCTCTCTCCTCGACATTTTCTTAGGTGATTTTCATTTCAACAAAGCACTGTACAGAATTAAAACCGCTTCAGTAGGATTAGACTTCAAGCCAATGGTTGCAGCTTGTGCCTGGATCCAATCAATGAAAATGTAGCCAACTGAAAAGTACTGCAATACAAATATACAGTATGTAATTGACAGACTTTCTCATGTCCATAAAATAACAAAAGTAACTGCTGCAGGAAAACCTGTAAGCTGTATGTAGATTTCCTCCACTTTAGATAAAACCAGGGCACCTTTACCACCTTAAGCACCTGCTAAGAGCCCTACTGGAAAATGAGCAACTTGTGTCTTTTGCAGTACCTGTTAATGTGATGTTGAGCCGTTTTCAACAGACTATACCATCCTAAGTTGTGGCAGCCTGCCATGATGTTACTCACTTAGCTTGTGCAGAAACAAGGCTGTAAAGTGATACAAATTAAGAAATTACTTTGCAAAAACAGGTTAATGACGGCCTCCCAAACCATTAATTTAGCATGAACTCAGAAGTATCCAGCCACTAAAATAATTAAAAATCTTACATCATCCCCACAGCAATCATTAAAGTTTGATTCAATATCATCCAAGGTTTGCAACTAATTAGTCTCTAAAATCAAATTATTGAACATCAATTCAATTTACGTAAGATTAATGACTAATTGCTGAAATATATGGTATTTGAACATAAAAAGACATATAATTTGTTTTTTTATCTCTGTCTCTACTTTCTCTGTGAATCTGTGCGCTCCATGCGTACCTTTGCGTGATTGAATGAGAACAATTTTGTGCATGTGAGTGAGTGAGTGTATTGTTGCACTCTGTGGGGATCTTTAATGAGATTTTTTTTGTGCCCAGTGTCCTCCATCTCTATCTCTCTCTCTCCGTTGCCTAGAAGCCGTCCAGTGGCTGTGTTCCCGGAAGGGTGTTAAAGGCTATTTATGTCAGGCTTTGTGTGTCCGGCCTGCGTCTGTGCCTGTGTGTTTGTTACACAGGGAGAAGACAGATAGATTAGCCTCTGGAAATATGGAGTATGTTGTTTGTGGTTGCACCTTCTGAGCTGAATCCTCTGAGCATTCGGCAGGCATTGATGTGAAGGTGTAGTATTACATGTTCATGTGTGTGTTTGCAGTCAACATGAGGAGAAGGAGAAAGCACTAAAGGAACAGCTCTCACACCTTACAGCCCTCCTGCCAACCCTCCAGGTAGAGTAAAATAAAGACCTGATAATAAATAATAATAATCAGTCACAAAAGCACTGCTGCTGATGTATTCCTGCTCACAAACTATCATTACACCTTTAAAGAAGTGCTCAGACCCTTTACTTAAAGAAAATGTATCAAAAGTAAAGTACTCTTTCTGCAGTAAAATGTTACCTGTAAATGTTTTTTTATGCTTGACATTATTTTTTACATTTTACAGTTGTAGCTAATTAGGTCATTTAGTCCTGCCCCTCCACAGTGTCAATAGATAAATCCGAGGGGTCATGAGATGTATAATGGGGAAGGAAAGAAGAAAAAAAATAAGTTTTAAAACACACATTTTCTCTAATATATATATACCACTAACAAAAAACACACTTGTGTTCATGTTTTTGGCTTTTCTTTAATCTTTTTTTTCTGTGGAATATTGGATCGTTTAACCTTTAGGGGCCTTGAACAGTTATTTAAATGAAACCATTTGATACCTTTACAGGGGATATAACTCTCTGGTGAAACTGCTAACAAATCATAGATATCTGAAACATGACAAGGAGCCCCAAGTAGACACTGCATTTTATAAGAGGTCACAAGCTGAAAAGTTTGAGAACAACTAGCTTTCAAGTAAAATCTTATTCTAAAAAGTAACCCCAGCTGCCAGATAAATCAAGTGGAGTAAAAAGTATAACATTGTCTATGAAATGTAGTCAAGTACAACGTAGCATAAAACGAAAATGAAAAGTACCTCAAAATTGTATTTCAGTAAATGTACTTCTATACTTTTATGAATAGGCTGTGAAGGTGACGATCATTCTGATCATACTAATATGCAGTTAGTCGTGGGATTAATTTAACACCATTTGATCTCAATTTCAGCCTGTTGGTGGCTCATATTCCATGCAGCTTGTGTGAAGTCTAACCTTTAATCTCTGATGGTTTTAGGTTCACCTCGTCACCTGTTCGGCCTTCCTCAGCTCAGCCAACAAGTTTGAGTTTTTGGACATGGGTTATGTGAGTACAGCCACATAAACTACTGTATGAAATATATTAAATTATTATTGCATTTCATGAGAATGTTATAAAATATTGGGATGCAATATTAGACATAATTGGGAGGAAAGAAGGGGAGAGTAGGGAAGGGAAAAGTGAATACATAAACCAAAAAGTAAAAAGTCTATAGATAAATGTAAAGATAAAATAAAAATAAAAAGGATGATTCACTGCATATATGTAATGTATAAGTATAGACCACACATTATCAGCGATTCTTAAAGCGCCCTATCCACTGTTCCTACATCAGGAAGTTTTCTTGGCAAGAGAGAAGTACAGTATTAGCTGGACTGAACTGGTCTTTAAATGGAGGCTGTCCATAATGTCTTATTGAGGTGAAACAGGTCACTGAATCACACCCGGATGTTTTTGCTTACACAGCAACTCATGGAGAGGCTGAAGAGGATTGTAAAGCTCCCTCATCGACTGAGACCAGTGCAGAGCAGCAAAGTGAGTTGGAATAGCTTTCATGCGGGGCTAGAAAAGAGAAAAGGTTACATTCAGAGTGTAATCCACTGCAGCGTACTGAATAGTAGTTTCACTTGCTCCTAATGCAGTTTCACTGTGGCCCGCCCAGAACCAATTTTTTATTGTAAGAAAGTTGAGTTTGGTACCTTCTAGTAGGGCTTTTAATAATTTATTTATCAGGGGCAATGCGCATTAGTTAACATGAATATGATGTAAATGTGACCCTGGGAAGGTTAATGGTTAAAGAAACAAAACATATACAAGACATATAACAAGCAGACAGCACAACATCAAATAACACAAAGGAGGATACAGCACAAATGAAAGGAAACCCATTATAAAACATACACACATCATATGACAATCATAAGTTTCCAACAAATTAGACAAAACACCACAAAATTACAGTCTTACAAGCACAAAAGTAAGGTGTTTTTGCTGGTTAGGTCAGCTTATCACAAATTATACAGTGATCTTAAAAAGGGTTATTTTTGAGCATGAAAGTTCATTCTTTACTTTGGGAATAGTAGTTTGCCAAAATAATCTTAATTTAATCTCAGGATAATCTCCAAGAAAAAGCTAGTGGACCTTGAGTTACGGTTGTTTTGTCAAACATTTTTACAAACAGAGAAGTTATAGAGTAGGTTACTGAAAAACAGTAATTAGGCAGAAACTTACAAAATCTAACAAAATACTGGATCTTCATTGGAAACAAATGCAAACTTATGTGTTTTATTTTATTTTTAATCTTATCAATTTAAAAAGAAAACATTTTAAATGATGATAATGAGAACAATAATGAGAATGGCTGTTGTTGGTATTACTATATTTCATATATTGCTATTATTGTTAGGTTGCTATTTTTATTAATATATTGTAGGGTTAACCATAGGATCTGGCCTGAATCTGGCAACTCCTGACTGTAACTGAATTTTTTTAAATTAATTTTTGTTTGGGCCGGTTAAGAATTAGGAGGAGAAACAATAAAGGATAATATGGTACAAATACAAGCACATTTTTGAAACTCTTTTTGAATTAATACAAGACTAGGTGACTTTATCTCTACCTTCCCTAAGATCAACACAGACTACAGAAGTGAGTTTGCACGCTGTCTGGAGCCCTTACTGCTGCTAGGTCAGCGCTGCCCTCCTTCTGTTGCCGGATCAGCAAGTATTGCAACAAGGTAAGATCCATTTACCTGCTGCCAAATATCATTTAAATGTAATCATGAAGGTTTAATGTACAATGTGCTTTCACTGCCTGAATATTACCATGGCCTCTTTTGGATCCTTCCAAGCAATCAAAAAGTCTGTAGAACAAAAATTTCACACTTGTGAAGGATCCAAACTCAAAATTCCCAAAGGGTGTGCAAGTACAGATGGTAGACAGCGATGACTGCAGTGAGAGGAAATGAGGCACCATGCTGGGTCCCACTATGGCAGTTATTCTGTCTGTCTGTAAGCTCTGTATATTGATATGTTTACTTAACTCACCTTGTTGCATGTGGGTTGAGGAGGGAGGCAGGGAGGCAGTCTCTCCTGTTTTAGAAAGCTTTTGTTTTTCTGTGGCCAGGCCAGAAGCATTACGAATAATACAAAAAGATGGGTGAATGATTGCAGTGCTATGTTTTCACAGGTCCTGGATGGGGATGTTTTCATTTTGATGTTTTGTTTTACTTAGAAGTCAGTTGTTACATTGCATTCCGTTGCATTGTAGCTGAAAACCACAAAATCTGATAATGGTTTGACAAAGCCTCATAGTCTTTTAACTTCATACATTCTTTTCAGAATTGCTTCAAATCACCAGCAAATACAGCCTTTATTAAAACACCCATCACTGCTACTCAGAACAAAGAGTTTAGTCCTTTTTTCTGTACTTAAGGTCCCTCAACAAATACTCACAATTTTATTCCAACTAAGTGTCTCCCAACTGTTCACAGGTCCTTAAGCCCACCCACTAATGCCAACATACTGACAACTCTCCTCTCCAACTTGCTTAGCACCCTGCCAGTGCAAGATGCAAAGTGGGCAGGGATTGGTGGCCGGCCGGTTGGCACTATTTTTATCGTAATTTCACAGAACTCTCCAGGATTCATCTGGAAGTTGGCATGCAGGAGCGGTCGGGCCGCTTTGTTCCAGGCCACTGATGTCACAGCTTTAGCACGGGCAAAGTCTTTAATTGGCGTCAGTGATGGGAGGACAGAGGCTGGATGATGACATGTGTATGGCAGAGAGAGAGGCATACATGTTTTAGACAGGTCTTCTGTTGCATCGACACTGGGCAAGAAGGCAGGAGTAAGAGCATACGAGACCTCAGGTAAATTTATATGTATTATTTTTAAGTCATTGCAGTTTATTCTCTTGTATAGATGGAGTGTCATAAGTATGTGACAAGTGCCGTGAATTGCAGCGTGACTCCCAAATATGTAACTTTTGTAGTTGAACCTCTTGAATATTTATGGAGATTGTAGTAAAGGTGTTTTACTGCCTGCATTGACAGTGTGGGATCAGAGGCATAGTCGTATACTTGCTTTCTACTTTCTTCAGTGAATTTCTGTTGACACCATTGACACTGTAAGATGACAGTTGTTACACAAGGTGCTTGACTGCACAATTTTTCAAGTCCACTCCATACTTCAGTTCACAGACGGAGGAGGAAATGGGCTTTTCCTCACCGTATGGTGGTTGAGAATGCCGCCCACATGGTGTAGTCTGTTACTCAGTGCGACTGAATGTGTTGTTGTGTCTGATACATCCTAAATTGCTGTCTGAAAGCTCCTTCCCCCACTTGTCAGCCGCTAATGCAGGATGCAAACCGGGTAGGGATTGGTGGACGGCCAGCTGGCTGGCCCTACTTTTTAACACATAATACACAACAGACGTGAAGTTGTATACCCATGTTCTTTCATGCAACTGATGCTGCTGCTTTAGTAGTGGCAATGTCTTAAGGCTGTCAGATCGTGCGTGTCGGGACAGCCTGGAGGCTTAGAGGACAGCATTCCTATGACAACGTCAGAGGGATGTATTCACACCTAGGTAATTGTAGAATGGCTTCAGAGCAGCTAGCCTAGGCATGAAGCCAAGAATATGGTCCTACCAGAACCTAGATAAATGTATATTTATCTAGTTATTTGGCTCTGTGCTGTACATACATACTTTCACACTTGTGGTGAAGGTGATGGTAAAGAGATGTGACAGCAAGTGTACTAATTGACTTTGATAGATAACATTTATTTAATCAGGTAGTCTCATTGAGATTACAATCTCTTCTGCAAGAGAGTCCTCATTAAAGAAAATATAAACGTAGCAACACAAAACAAAAGGACAAATACATAGACGAACAAACATGCATATGAAGAGGGATATATATGGATTGAACAGTTCCTTTTTTAAACTTAATAAGTTATCGGCTGAAGAAGCTACCACACAATACAAAACAAAAATTAAATGATTGTGAAAGTTAAGCAGAATATATGTGTTTTTAGATAAGATAATGTACATAAAATGTATATAAAGCTGCACGTAAATCTTAATTCAATACAAACTTGAATTAAAGCAGCGTTGGGCGGCCCTCGCACGTGTAGCGCGTCGGGGTGTGAGGCGGCTGCGGTGAATATTCTGAAGCTCTGCCGGTGCGGCTGTGAATTTGCTACGCACTTTGGACGCTGCATAAAGGTGTTATATGTCACTTCCTGTGTCCCCTTTGTGGCGCTACATAGCACTTGGCGCTATGAATATAAATCAATATTGGCGTGTAGATGTCTTCGGGGTGGGACAGTTATCAAGCACGTGTTAACTTGTGTCATGGCGAAGAGATGATCTTTGACCCCACGCCACGGACACGCCCATTGAGGAAAACTCACAGAAAGTACAACTTTTCATCATCAATGCCTTTAGAAGGCACAGCAGAAATCTGAAATCAATCTGACTAAATCCCTAGGAGGAGTTCCTGAAAGTACGGAGTGTGTAAATCATCCAAAAATTTCTGTAAAATTCAAAATGGCTGACTTCCTGTTGGGTTTAGGGCATCACTCCAAGAGGCTTTTTGGTACGTCTGGACATGATACAAGTTCATACATGTAGGTCAAACGTGCGGCGGGGGCTGCTTCGTTAAAGGTCACTTCCTGTTGCCAGCAGGTGGCGCTATGACTGTGGGTGAATGTCGACATGTACATGTGTTCAGGGCGGGAGTCTTATGAAATGTGTGAAATTTGGTAGAGATATGAGCAGGTACAGTAAAGTTACAACAACTTCCTGTGTCATGGCGAAGCATCAAACTTTGACGCCACGCCAAGGACAGACCGTGATCCGAAACCCACAAGATTCACAACATAGCATCATCAATGTCTTAAGGCTCTTCTGAGACTGTTTTGAAGCAGGTGAGGCAAATAGGTTGGCAGTAGTACATAACAGGGTAAAACTGGACACTTCCTGTTGCCAGCAGGTGGCGCTATGACATTGTGTATTTATTGGCATACGGATGTGTTCAGGGTGGGACTCTCATCCTACATGTAACGTTTGGTGCAGATCTGAGCACGCACACTGAAGTTATAACCACTTCCTGTTTCATGGCGAATCACTGATTTTGGACGCCACACCACGGACACGACCATTGACAAAAACTCACAGATAGCACAACTTTTCATCGTCAATGCCTTTAGAAGGCACAGCAGAAATTTGAAGTCAATCGGACTAAATCTGTAGGACGAGTTTGTTAAAGTACGCACCCTGTAAATGGTGAAAAAGAGGTTAAAATCGCACTTTCAGTTCAAAATGGCTGAGTTTAGGGTATGGGTTCTTGAGGCTTTTTTGTGTGTCTTGATATGATAGATGTCCCCAGAAAATTTCGTGCATGTAGGTTGAAGTAGGCGCGGGGGCTAATTTTTTCCAACTTTACAGGTGGCGCTATAGAGCCATTTTGCCAGGCCCATGTGCCCTTAAAATAAGTAATTTTTCGCCACGCCTGACGTGTGTGCAAAGTTTCGTGAGTATTTGAGCATCTTTTGGCCGTCAAAAGTGCAATTCATTTGGGAGAAAGAATAATAATAATCCTTAAAATTTCAATAGGGTCCTTGCATGCTCGGGCCCTAATTAGGTTGTAATAATGGAAATTCTGGACCAAGGTGTTACAGTTTGCACAATTCCCAACTGGTTGCAATGATAGAACGCTCTGGATGTAACTGGTAAAAAAATATATATATATATTGCACTGGGTCCTGAGGGTTTTGAACAGTGCAATACTGTTATGGACCAATATGGTCAATTATAGAGTTCAATTTATTAAATATGAGGCTTTAATCCTCCTGTGGTGTAAGAGACAGAGGCTAGCTTGATGTAATGTTTTGTTGATGGAGAATAATGTCATTAAGCACAGTATTTAATGAGAAAAAAAAGGCAGTCATGATTTTCCCCCCTCACCTCAGGCACCAGTCCCCTCTCTCCATGTCTTGCCGCTCCCCGTCTCTCAGTGAAATGCCCCGAAGGCCCACTTGTCACCGCAACATCTGCACCAAGGTCCTCCTGGCTGAGGGGAGGGAAACACCCTTCACCGAGCACTGCCGCAACTATGAGAACACCTACAGGGTGAGTGCTGTGTGTGACCAATGATGTACTAGATTTACAGTTACATTTACAGTTACTAAGGCTTAAAAGAGTTTACAGTCATGATAGCAGCTCTGTGAGGCTGTATTTAGGCATGGTTTGAGCTAAATACTAAAATCAGGCAAACATGATCATCTATGATGATGATAACAACACATGGTAATATTTAGAAGTTATAATGTTTACCATGTTTACTTCTTATTTTAGCGTGCTGCTGACATTTGCACATTAGCACTAAACACAAAGTGCAACTGAAGATTTAACTTAAATCAAAGTTATTACAATTCATCCTGTGAAGATCAGGCTTGTGTGTACCATATTTCATGGCAATCCGTCAAATAGTTGCTGAGATATGTCAGTCAAGACTGACATGGTGGATGCTAGCAGCTTGGCTAAAAAACATATTGTAAAGAATTCAAAGGTGCTTATTTCCCTTTTGCCATAGAGTCATCCTCTAAGAGCAAATTTACGTTGTATAAGATTTGTGAAAAAATAAAAAGAAGCACATTATGTTTTAATGTGTTTTTTTATGTCCATAGTTTATAAATCTAATGTATTTTGGTCTAAATTGCTTTAAACTGCTGCAGAAACTTTCTCTGCCATCTCTGATCCTCAAAGTAAAACAATGATAAGCCAGCAGTATGGCTTCCTCTGGGATTTCATCATCAGTCAGTCAAGTAGACAACAAGTGTTTTCACACTCAGATGCACTTCACCTGGCATCTGCACACCCATCAAATCTCTGCTGCTGTTTTAAAGACATTGACAAGCTCTTGAGAGTCATGCCTTACAGTATGTCCTGTATATGTGTGTGCTTATAGACTTTCCAGACAGAGATTCAGAATCTAAAGGACCAGGTCCAGGAGCTGCACCGAGATCTGACCAAGCACCACTCAATCATCAACACAGATAAAATGGGAGAGATCCTGGACAGATCGCTGCACATTGACAGCCAGATAGCTGCCCAGTACTCCACTGTGGAAACTATGCGAGTCATGTTTGAAGAGGTGTGTCAAGTGATACCTTGATGTTTTGACCTTTAGAGTGTACCTGCCTCGGCCAGGCTGTTCCGATAAAAACGTTTCTACATTTGTCCTTAGTCAGCTCCATTATGACAAGCTGATTCTCACCCATTGTTATAAATTTAGACTGTTGGAATGCATGAGCCGAATGACCGCAGTCCATATAATATTTTATGAGAATCAGCTAACCTCATTTCCCTCACAGATCTGGGAGGAGACCTTTCAGAGGGTCACAAATGAGCAGGAGATCTATGAAGGTTTGTCTTCAGCACTGACTAACAAACATTTAAATTCATTGCACAAATGTTTACCTCTTTACCATTTCAATTTCATTTTCTTCGTTAACTGATTTAGCCCAGCTTCATGACCTACTGCAGCTGAAGCAGGAGAACTCTTACCTAACCACTATCACCCGACAGATCAGCCCCTACATCCTGTCCATTGCCAAAGTCAAAGAGAGACTCGAGCCCAGGTGTTGTATTCAGAGCATATATTATTCCCATATTGTCCATCTGCTGCCATATTGGTTGAATGATGACAGTGATTGGAAGAAAATGGAAGCTCTTGTTAGCTCCAAAGTACCTTTTGATATGAAGTACCGCTTTGTGAAGCATGGGTGGGTACATGTAACGTATTGGGATGGATAAAGAAAATAACAACAACAAAAAATGCTGTATGTCTTGTAAACAAAACTGTAATTGCATTTTTTTAGGTTGGAATAGTTATTTTAATTATTTTCTTAAATGTTTTGTAAATGCGTTTAACATCTTAAAAAGTTAAGTGGGAACAAAAAGACTTCGAGCTGAGTGCCACAAGAAGGGAAGCCGGAATGTATTGAGAGATTGAGATATTGTTGGTTTTATTATTTCCATGGGATACGTTGACTATAAGAAAAATACAGAATAACACCAGCCTTGTGCAACTTAAGAAAATGTTCCTATTCCAAAATGTATTTTCAAGGTTTCAGGAGCCTAAGGAGCACCACGATGACCGCACAGAAACAATGCTGAAAATCTATGAAGACAGCACAATTGCTACAGACAGGTATTGACATACACTGTGCACAGATGTAGTTTTTCTATATGTAAAGTCTTAAGTAATGATAGACTTTTTTCAGCCATGGAAACAAGTAAGTTCAAGAGCACCTCAGAGCATAAAGTATTTTGTTTGTTTTGTATTTTGTTGAACTCTACATGATGATTTAAGGACTGCACTCTTTTTATTAAAATGTGTCCAGTCTCACCAGATTTCCTCTGGCTGGATTATAATACATTTTGTATATATGCTGTATATATGTACAGTTTATGCAGTAATTTATGTTCTTTAGTAAGAGATCTTGTTTTACTGCTCGATCATATATTTGCTGGATATTGTCTCACGAATGACACAAAAAAATCAACCAATCATTTAAAAAAGGCCGAGGTTTAGTAGTAGCAGTATATAGTCTAGTGTATAACCAGCATATTTGCATTAAAGTAGTAACACTTATTGAATAAATGTTCATGTGTTGGATTTTTGAGTGAAGCCCCTCATTTATTTTGTCTTGACAGTAACAACCAGACCTGTGTCACAGACCAAGACAGAGACAAGAACAACCGCCCGCTGATCCTCGAGTCGGGGGAGAACTCTGTCAAGACCAATTGCCCGGGCAGGAAGAGGGTTCCCACAGAGACATCCAGCCACAATGAGATGCCTTCATAAACACCATGACATCTGTCCCCCTCAACCATCTCCTGCTCCTGTGTAGCAATGTGACTTTATTCAACCATAACAAGCCAAGGATGGAATTTGACTTCCTCTGCTGTCCAGATACTGTACATAACATTTTCTCCGCAGTGGGGAGCTGTCAACAGCCCTTATAGACAGTAACTGGACGTACATACATGGAGGTCAATGACTCACTGCTGTCAGAGCCGGACATGGACAGCCTCCTTGTTCAAAATGGACAATTGGTGTTATTTAAGGTGCATGAACTGCTTTAATGAGCAAATAGAATGAATAATAATCTTACTTTCCTGGATTGCCTTTTGTTGCTATGTTTGTGCTTTAGCTGTTAAAATGATGAATGAAGTATCCTGAAAGTGAATTAACGCTCTTTTTATAGTGTGTGCATTTGTGTATGTGTGGAATTGCCTTTTGCAGCATACATTCTTTGCATAAAACATTTTTTTTTTTTTTTGGAAGCTGGAGGCTGAGGATGGATTACTGCCCAGGTCCAATTCCCCAGAAGATTGTTGAACTGGTGTGACAGCACAGATGGAGCACAGCAAAGGCAATGATGAGTGTGTCATTCAGGGTGTCAGTGTAGGTCACATGTTCATGTGTATCATCTCATGCATCAGTCTCCTCCAAAATGAAGTAGTCTTTTCCAGGATGGTGTCTGCAGTGGGGTTTTTTTTTCCCCCGACAGTTTCCACATCTACATGCAATAAGTGGAAAAGCTAGAATTACAGAGGTGTGTGAATGTAACTGGCCTTGGCTTAACCTCGATCTCCACACTGATCCTCAATATTTCAGCCAACCAAGGCGCTGTGTACTGCTGTAGGAAATATATTCACCTCTCAACTTCATCGCACATCATTGCAGCATGCTTTAAGGTGTTTGCCCTGCAGGAAATCAGCAGGTAACTTTTACTTCTCTCTGACTTCACGGCTCCTCCTTTTCCACCAAATATTCTTCTTAATTAATCACATTGTTATTTTAAACAGGGAGTTTGCATGTTCTCCCCATGTCCGTGTGGGTTCTCTCCGGGTGCTCTGGCGTCCTCCCACCATCCAAAGACATGCAGGCTAGGTTAATTGGTGTCTCCGAAATTGTCCTTAGGTGTGAGTGTGAGTGTTTGTGTGTCTATGTGTGGCCCTGCGATGGACTGGCGACCTGTCCAGGGTGTACCCTGCCTTTCGCCCAAAGTCAGCTGGGATTGGCTCCAGCCCCCCCGCGACCCTGTGCACAGGATAAGCGGTTGACGATGGATGGATGGATGGATGGATGGATGGATGGATGGTATTTTAAACAAACGTCATTACTTACCTTGCCACTGCAAAGGCATGGGGGATCTAAAGGATCTGCCATACATCACCAGAAATATCTGAATTTGGAATGATTTCAGGAAATAGTGGGGCAGACTCCAAAAGCTTTTTTGAAGGATTTTTTGCCAAAAAAACAGCATCTTTGAGAAACAGAGCTTAGTACACAGGAGTGATTCAAGGTGAAACCTCCCCACCTGCTTCCAGCACCGAGACAGGAACGACCCCTTTTCTCAGCACAGGTAAGGATGATAATGAGGAGTGAGACTGATGGCTTCAGCACTCAGAAGGAGAAGGTTATTTACATTACACAGCCAGAGCTAAAATGGGTCTGTTCAGAGCCACCGCTTTACGGGAAATATTGGGTCAAGATGGCCTTAAGGAGCAGTGCTGCTCTGCAGAGGAGTCAGAGGTGCAGATTCATTAAAAATACATTTGTGACAGCAGAGTAACAAATGGCTGTGCCTCTGCTCTGGTCCTGTACTCCCTCCCCATGGTCATTCATCATCTGCACTCATTGAACTACCTGCTCCACGTTCACTGTTCATTATTCTCTCTTTCTCTCTTTTTTGGAGGGGGGGGCAAAGGTTATTTTTCTCCAAGAAAAAAAGTATTTTTTGTTAATGGTACATTTGAAAGCAAAGTTCATAGAGAGATTGCCCTCAATTGTTTAACAATTAAGACAGGACACACCTTTTCTCAATTCACTTTATAGCGGGTGCCACTGTAGGCACTTATGCTAAAGAAAGAACACTGCCTTTAATTCTTTAAACTCTAAAAGTCTTCATCACACAATTGAGAAAAACATTAAAGATAAGATAAAATGAAAGTTTAATGATCTCCATGGAAAAATTGGGTCAGTGAAGAAAAGAGTATGACATTAAGAAGAATACAATTAGGGCAAATAGAACAGAGTGGGGATAAAACCACAAATGGTTACATAATGAGGGTGAAAATACAGTTAAGAGTCTTAATTATCCTGCATACAGAACTGCAATTGTTTCATCTCATATATTTTAAGAGATCATTATATTTGCATTATGGATGGTAGCTTTCAAATCAGATGCAAGCATAGAGGGGTATTACAGAGAGGAGGACTAACAAGTTAACTGGACATGTGGAAACAAAATTCAAAGAAAAACCTGGATTCTCTAATAGAAAAGCTCCTTTTCCAGAAATCACATCTACCAAAATGATTGTAGGCCTATCTGTACAGAAAACTAATACTGTTTTAAGATTGATACTGCTCTTGTGTCTGTATGGTAAAACTGAAGCTACAGCCAGCAGCCGGGTAGCTTAGCTTAGCATAAGTTTTATCAAAAGTTTAGAGTGAGATAACGCGTGTTAGGGGAGGAGCCACTCAAATATTTGAAGCCAATTCTCTCAAGCTTTTACTAGCAGTTAGATTTTAGCTATAGTTACCTATAACTGCCCCGAACAAATACAAGGTATAAAAATAGGTAGATCTGATAAAAGACTATTTATATATACTTATATTTCAAAAATACAGATGGATCAAAACTAAAAAGAAATTAGGCCCCAAATGAACCCACTGAACAGCAGTACTGTACACATAGGCCTACAGTAGGATGGCAGAACTTGCCCTACGCATACGCCAAGCTGTGTGTGTGAGTAGACTACACATTTCAGCTTATAAATGGTGTTTTGTGTTGTAATTGTTTGTTGCACATTTTAATGCCTTGATGACAGGGGTAGTGGGCTCCCACTTAGAGCCCTGTGGCTCAAGGCCAGCCATTTTCACCAGCATGATGGATAATAGCTTTCTGTCCAGAGCCAAAATATAGAAAAATATCTCTAGTCCTTTGCTTAGTTTCAGGTAGGCAAAGCAAAGTCCAGTGGTGGACAGTAACAAAGTAGTACTGCACTTAAGTACAGGAATTTGTACTGACCTTGAATATTTTCTTTTCATGCTACTTTCTACTACTTCACCACATCTCAAAGGCAAATATTCTAACTATTTCTTACTTTATCTGACAGATTCATTTACTAGTTACTTTAAAAAATAAGCTTTTTTACACACAAAATGTATTAAGAGTTTAAAAAATCGGATGTTTTGATATAAATTAAATTACTTAACAGTTTATACAAGTCCAGCTAGTAGAACTACATCAGTTAGGCAAATTGACAGAAATTTAATTGGCAAATGTTTTGGTATAATTTTTCATGTAAAAACATTTCATGGGTCCAGCTTCACAAACGTGAAGATCTGCTGCTTTTACTTGATTATTTTAATGTATTTTTAATCAATTTGAGGTTTGGACTGACAAAACAAGCATTGTGAAGTTGTCACTTAGGGAAAAGTAAAAACATTTCTCACTATTTTCAGAATTTATTACAATTGATTAATGGAGAACATAATTAGTTGATTAAAAAAAAAAAATCATCAATTGCAGTCTGATACAAAATAGTTCAACCTCAACCAATTACATTAAAGCATGAGGAATAATAATCTAATGATATAATATATAGCCTAATAGCATAACAGTCATATGGGACATTTTTCTTTCTCCTTTGAGTAGAAAACTTTTATTTTTAATTGGCTACTTCTACATTTTCCAGATATAGCCTACTTACATACCTTTATTTAACTTTTTCATTGCAGTAGGCCTACCTGCAGAGTATTTTTACAGTGTGTACTTTTATTTATTTCTTTAAATTCTTTAAATAGGCCTATGTTACTTGTGCTCACCACTGGCTAAAAAAGCCACAGCTTCTGGTTGCAAAGAGGTTGGAGAGCTTTTGACTGCATCAATAATAATTTAGCATGCATTTGGCTACACTCCCCAACATCAGCCGCTCTCACTATCTTTGATCCCAGGCAAGTGATTTCGTCCAGGAATCGTAAAGTAAAAATGCTGGGGTGAAAAAACTACAGTTACCGCATTCATTGGGTCCAGCGCTTCCAACTTCCACTGAAGTTGCGGATCCATGTTGCCTGGTAAGGAACAACACATTTTTATTTCTGATAGGCTTAACGGCTCTGGCATTTAGTAGGCTACAGAGAAAGCTATGAACTCTGCACAAAAATTATCGTCCATTAACTGAATATAGCGGGACAACTTTACGTTCTCTCTTAACTTCTCAGCGTGAGAAGGTGTGGCCTGTGAGCCTGTGAACTGTCTGAAATGCGTGTGTCTCACGGTGAGACTTGAGAGCCCTGAAGGGGAAACAGCTAGCCTGGCTCTGTCCAAAGGTATCTACCAGCACCTCTAAAGCTCACTAATTAACACTACTAATGAGCTCTTAATAGTTTATGTGTAATGGCTTAAACTGTTCGGTTAACCTAAGTTATGTTTTTCACAATAAGTCCAGCTTTTCTCAGGCCCCATCCACACTACTGCATTTTCGAATTAAAACGAGAAAACTACGTTTGCACCTCCCGTCCAGACTACAATGGCAAAAACAAAGACCTAAAACGGAGAAGTTTAGAAATGTTGCCGATCCAGTTTTGCGTTTCAAAACTCCGGAGGGCGTTTTAGTGAAGACGGCCCAAAACGGAGCACCTAGAAACGATGACGCAGCCACTCACGCTCGGCTCTCTGTTTGGGTCTTATAAGTCATGCTAAGCTGAAACACGATGCTACTGACCGGGTTTTTGACATGTAGGGAAGCCCTAAGCGGCCATCCATTCATATTTTTATTTTACTCCGTTTTCACGTGATAACGAGATAATTATCTCATGATCTCGAGATAACAACTGTTGTTTTCTCGTGATAACGGGATAATTTTCTCGTGATCTCGAGATAACAAACCAGCTAAATACAGGGGTTGGCAGGTGCGTTTCTTTACGATGTCATGTCAATTTGATGAGTTACCATTTAGCTCAGTTTGTAGAGTGCAGGACTTGCATCCCAGGGATTGAAGGTTTGACCCCTCAGCAAAGTTTTTTTTATTCTTCTTTTGTGTGTTTTTTAATCATTCTCTTCAACAAATCACATATTTCCTGAAGGCTATTTCAAAGGTTCTGAAATAGTCATCAGGAAATGTGTAGTTAAATGGATTCCCCTGGATGAGAAGCAGATGAATTTCCTTTGCCTGGGAATGATCGGGAAATCAAAAGTCCATAGGTTGATGAATGTGGACCAATCGACAGCACACACTCCAGCATGTGATTAATTGTGAGCATGTGAATCAGTCATCTTCATAACAACTTTGTTGAAGAGGAATATGAAAAAAAATATTTAAATTGGTCTTCAATGAGGATCAAACTCACAATCTCAATCCTACTAGTCATGTACCTTACTTACTGAGCTAACCACCTTCAAATTACCATTAAGAACTGTTCTTGCCAACCCCTGCGTTAAACTACTCTTTTGTTATCTCAAGATCACAAGAAAATTAGCTTGTTATCACGGGAAAACAACATTTGTTTTCTCAAGATCATGAGATAATTATTAGTAAAATAAAGATATGAATCGATGGCTGCTTAGGGCTTCCGTAGACATGGTATTTTTATTAAAATATTATGTACTGTGCAAATAACAGTTATCTGCCTACATTTGTACTGTGCAAGTCGCCGTATTTACTTTGCAACGACTCCCAGTCTGTTTTCCCGCCACCACACTCCTGTGTTACGTTCAGTAACAATCCCAGCTCCTTATTGTTGTATTTATTTTTTCTTTTGCCAAATCTTCTGCAACTAGGAAGAGACCATCTGCTTCTTGTTTACACTGGCACACGCATGCCCAGTGTACCTGAACGGCCAATAGATGTGCGTTTTCAGTTGTTTTAATGGAGATGGAGATCAACTCCAAAACGCAGCTAAAAATGCTGGTGTGGACGGAGATCATATTAGTTTAAATTCTCCGTTTGTAAACTAAAACAGAGTAGTGTGGATATGGCCTTAGCCTCCTTACAGGAACACACCCCAGGAGACAAAAAGCAGCTTGTTTTTTTTAACAGTGTTTACTTTATTTAATTTTCAGCATATAAAACCAATCACTGACATGCCTTGTGGCGAGGAATTTGTTTACCCCCTTCCGTGCTGACTACCATGGTATGGAGGGTGATTGGAATCAATTTTGATGCCGTTATCGCCAGTGACAGATGCACAAGGCCGAAGTGTGAAAAGGTCAAGGGTTGAGGGTGCGCTACCTGGGGACTAGAGATGCTTGAGGCATAAAAATGTCATCCCTGAATCAATTTCACATGTGAACAGTGGTTTAATCTCTGAGGGCTTTTAAGACTGTTTCTTGTTGTTTTGTTAGCCACAGAGTAGCAGGCAGCAGGTGCAGGTTAAGTAATATTGTCTAAGTAATATTTAAGATTTATGGAGACTATTGCTCCATCCCTTTCTTTAATGAGATCTTCACACTTCGAAGATCTGTGCACCTAAACTCAATTAGAGACATGTAAGTCAAAGCACGTCAATATTCTTTATCACTCACTGCCCCTATGCTGTATAATTAACCCAGGAGTCATAGCCATTGGTTTTTCATTTGACCCCAGCAGCTCTGAGGGTCATATTTTTAGTCCCATCTTCTTGGCCTACTTCTGGAAGTGTGTCAGAAACAGGCTATTTGCATTTTTCTTTATATTTGTTTATTTAAAAGCATTTTAGTATGCAAAGATATTTTAGTCTGGGCTCAGTCCCGAAAGTCCAGTGTACTGAGCTCTTGTTTTCTGAGAATCAAGAAAGAAAACAGACGATTGGTGAAATGGGACTAAGAAAAATAGCAAAAATATAAAAGAAACAAAGAAAAATGAGAAAAAAGGTATATGTAAAATATAGCCTGTTGAATAAAAATGGTTATTTTTTTGTGTTGTTTCAATCGTTATTTACCTTTCTATTCATATGTGCAGTGGATTTTCTATTTTAAAATTATAATAGAGTAAACATTGTTATTTTTATTGTCATATACTTTATCAGGAATAAACAACACAGATACCTTTACCAAAATCTGCTGGCCAATTTGATTTAAGAAATATTGGTCACTTCAAGATGCTGTAAATAAGTCGTTTCTTATTGTGTTGGAAGTCTACAGGCCTGAAGCCTACAAATGCTTTCTTTGAAAACCTCTCTGGGGATTGTCACTAATGCAATAACAGAGCTGACAAATTGAGTTCCTTTTATTGCATCGACCAACAATGGCAGCGTGCTAGCTTGTCCTTGACACGGAATCACAGGTGTGAGCCTGAGGATGTGTCAAACCTGCATGCATGCAAGACTCAGGAGAGGCAGCCCAGCAGCTCCTTATTAATCAACAGCTTGTTGGGCTGCTGGCCATACCTCCCCCTACATCTTCACCTCCTCTTTTCTTCTCTCTCTCCTCCTTCACCCTCACCATCCTCATCATCACAGCCTCCCATTCTGGTCAGGAGCTCAGCAGAAATGAACCATTAACACAGGTTACTCATTAATTAACATCTCTCCCTGATGCTTTCACAAAAAGTAAAGAAAGAAAGCACAACAGGATTCAGTGGAAATTGGATTCCTTCATTTTATGGACAGCTATTGACTGACATACAGTATAACCAACATATTGTAGATGTTAATACATCAGTGCAAACTGGCTCTGTAGCCTCTGAATTATTTCTCTTTTTTTTGGTTGGGAATTCTGCTGCGTTAACTTTCAATGAAACTCATGAGAAAGTTAGTATATATCTTCATTCCTAAGAGTGACGTGTCAGCTGGATAATTCAGGACTTGGTCAACAATATTTATGTTGGTTTGTTTATCCAAACATGTTTTGGTGCTTCTATTGAGCACTAGTTTACAAAACATCTGATTAATACAGGTAAAGTAACTAGGTAATCCTAATGGTCCAAATAGTATTTTCATTTCCTAGTAGGTTTCCTGAATAACAATATGTAATCTGGTGCCAATTATAGGGAAGTAGTAATAGTAATTGAGAATGTTTTTCACATTTTTTTCCCATTGATTTCATGCTGAGCTGATCTGCTGTGTACTGTCAAAAAGACTATTCTAAGTTATGCAATAAATTATTTGGAATTAATTCATTTTAATTATTAAATAACATATTTAATAGAAGAGTACCATTTTAATATGGTCTCTATTTTTTTCCCATATTTAGCACCGCATTACGTAGTTCTTTCAGGAGACTTACTGGGAAGGTATTAGGAAATTGTTCTGAAATTATGAACCCTTACAATGAACCATAAAATTGAACTGCAAGGTTACTTAGTAAAAATAAGTTTTGGATGTAGGCTAGACAATTGACTAAGACTTACATTAATATGCACTTACTATAATGATAAAAGTACTTTATTTTTTATTTTTATTACTGCTGAGATAGATGTGTAACTTTTTATAAGGCCACTTTTTGCGGCAGCTCTGGTGTTTTGGCTCCAGATGGACGGACACCAAAATGTGGTGTTTACTGCTCATATTTAGAAAGTACAAATAATTGGGCTGTACTGTGAGGTGCTGAACATGCAGCTGTTGTGGTTTATGTAATGTTAGTATGTATTCATGTGTACAAGATTTCTTCTGTTGCTGCAGCAGTAATATAACTTCCATCCATGTTATATACAAACAAATTACTTCCCTCAAGGGCTCACGGCTCCACAGCCTACACACCTAAGGACAATAGACCATTCAAACCAACCAGAGTTACTCCCGCTTCACGATAATGAAAGCCATCAGGGACAGAAACCTTGACTACAAGTTCATATTCTGTGTGTACTACTTCAATACTTATACTGTAATTCACTCAAGAACACTTGTTTTCACCAGGGATATGGGTGAAATATGAAAATCAGGTGTTTTTACATCCCAGGTGCACACAGCATTATCACCATAATTAATCTTGTTGTATTTGCAATGCAAGAGGCAGCAGGCAGAAAATAAATCTTTCACCTTCATGTTTTTAGCATTTTTGTGTCATTTTAACTCAACGGCTGTTGTAGTGCATATTGTAGGCCTACTTAATGGTTGAATTACATTTTGACACATTTTGGCATTTATTGAAAAGACTGGATGTGGTATGGCTCTGGGAATATGCACAGTGAAGTGAAAAAAAAAGGGAAAAGCAGGAAGATATATGTGTGGTTTGGTTGGTTAAATATAAGCAGGGCAGTACAGAGATCTTGGAGAGGAGCTGGGGGAGAGTAAACAGAGGTGTGACAGAGAAGAAGAAGAAATGCATGAGAGAAGAATAGACAGAGAAAAATCTGACAGGGGTCTCAAAATTCAAGTTGCTGTGCATACAGATGCAAACACTATGTTAATCCTCTGTGTACAGAGTTTATCTGTGTTATAAAACTTCATTCAACTAATGTTCTACCTTGTTCTTCTTTATTTTAAGAAGAAATAATACAGACACTTGCCACATAAAATGTCCAATCAGAAACAACAACGAGCACTCTCATGTTGGAATACCAAAACAAAATATGACCAGTCATAAAAAGAACATTAGGAAAAACCTGGCCCAAATTTGAAGCTGCAGTATTTTCATTTTTTTCAAATTTTTTTTTTTTATAGATGCTTGTTGATTTTCTAAAATTTATTTTCTAACGTCATAAAAAGTGCAACAAACTGCAGTTGCAATACAAGTGGATCATGTGGTAATGCAGTGTTGTAGTAAGGGGTTCTTAGGCTCACTAGCGTACAGTTGGATTAACTGAGTTAAGGTATAATTACATGAGATATGCAAATAAGCAAATATACATTAATATGCACTTATTATTATTACTTATTATGATCTGTATGACTCAAGAGCCTCCGGTACTACAGCAGTGACAATTTCACAGTACCATTCCGTGACCGACATCCACATCTCCAGTCTGTCACATAGGTTATCATGATTTCAAAACAGGAACTCAAAGCTTGAAACACTTTCAAAAGAGAACTGACTGTAAAAACAAATCCAAATGATCCAACCGCTCAGTAAAATCAATCCTGCAGCCACAGTGTCCACCTTCCTAACTGCCATCAACATTATGTAATTTGCACACTAAAACTGAGAGTTGATGTTAAGGCAAATAGGCAAATTTAATGCTACAAATATTAAATGTAAACATTTCAAGGCTTAAAACTCTTCATTTAACTTTTGTGAATACAGTCCGTATACAGTAAAGACATATTCTAACAGATCAACAGCTATCACAGGCTGCACAGTATGTGGTCTGTAATTTACTGAAACAAGTTTACTTATGACAACTACATAAGAATAATACATTAAAATAGTTTTAAATAAGAAAATGTCGCTTTGCTTATGCACAGACTGATCATTACTTACTCATTACAAAAGTTTTTAAGTTTTAATCTATTTTTCATTGTTACAGCATTAGACGTGATAATACTCCTAATACAGTCTTTGCATAGATCAACATCAAGATAAAAGAACAGTGCCTGTCTGTGTGCTGCACTGTACTATGAAAGCCTGTATGTTAATTTGGTCATCATGTCTTCAACTCAGTCAAAGGGTTTTACAGCTCTTGTTCCTGAAAACGACACGACAATGAACATTCATTTCAGTTCTCTTGTTTTAAAAACTGTCCAGCGTTGCAGTGCCATAAAGCAAGGACTAGTTGGAAAATAATAATTAAATACTGCACACAAGGAGAACATAATAATCTACAGATCACAAAGAGAAACGGACAAGACTCTTAATGTCTATAAGTGCCACATTTATAAAATTGACCCACTTGGAAAAAGTAAACTGACAAAAATGCTGCAGACACAACAGTTCCATTCAACACCTCTCTACCAAAAATAGGAAACAACAGTAACACAGCATGGAAGTGGTGGAGCAGTGTTTCCTCTGTATTCTTATTATTGTGCCAGCTTAGCAAAATACGTTACCACCTTTGAAGAAAAAAATTAATAGGTTTAATTATGCCATATTCCACTATAAAACCCTAACAGAGCTAATGATTTATCTTAATAAAAAGTATTCAATATGTTGCAATCTGAAGCAGGATTACTGTACAAAACACAGGAACCGATGTGGAAACGATTGTAAAAATTGCACCTAAACACTATAAAAAGTCAGAGGAAAGCACTGCATTGTTCACCACCTGGTTCTCTCAGTATGTGCGGACTCCTGGTTTGCTGTCCTGGGCCTGGTTGAAGGGATTGGCTGGGCTGGAAGACTCATTCTCCTGGTCAATGGACTGGTAGGCATCTCTGTTCCGTGATACAGAGGGGAAACCTGCAGAGACAAGCCAAAACATCATCAACACACACAACCTCTGCAATACAATTGTAATATTCATAATCATATCTGCTTAGAAACACTGCAACTAATCAAGGATCTTGCAATATACATATTTAAACGCAAAGGTTCACACTCATTTCAGATTCATGACACAGTTGGGCTGATTTGTTATCCTGACTTGAGCATCTGGCCCCCTCTGGATAAATACTGGTTATACCGTTGGAAACTCAGGTCTTTGCCAACATACAGTAAAGCCCACATTTCCTCTGACGGACGCTGGATTGAGAAAACAGCAAATTACATAAAAAATAAAAAAAAAATCCTTGCTGAGTTCTGAAATTCCTCTCATTTCATCACTCTTTTTACATCCACTACTGTCTGATTATCTGCTTGTTCTGTTCTGTGACTAATGGGAGAGAATTTGGCCAGAGAAACAGACCACCATCAGTGTTTTGAGAATGAGTCCTTAAAAAGCCTTTCTCGAATGAGCAGAATTTTCTGATATAAGTAATCCAGTTTACATTGAAAACCTGACTTGGTGCATCATATCTAATGTAAACATGTTTTATAATGGATTACATGAAGGCACTGATACTCCATCTGAAAAGTCTGACAGGACTCCCTATGATGCTCAAAAACATACAGCCCTGACTCTGACATGGCCAGAATACCAATGATGTGTTTTGGGAAGTTCAAACACTCTTACCTCTGCATGGCCCAGAGTCCTATTACTGTGACAAACATGCACATATCAATGCTAATCAAACAAGCCATTTACTTTCTTTGCAGAGGGTTTGGATGAGTTTTACTAATACTGTACAACTGGGATGTTTATTATTTTATTTTATTTTAAAGCATAAAAATACATTAGTAATCCTAAAATAAATACTTCATCATCATGTTGCTCATCAACAACCTTACTCTTTTTCACATTTCACATTCAGGTCACAATCATTGTCTATTATAAGTCAACATTATGTTGATTTTAATTAGGATGATTTAAGAATGTGCACCATCATGCAGCTCTGCTTTAAATATATGCAAACAGAATACACAAACAGAAATTAGGTGTCTGGAGAGTAAAATAATGAATAATACATTGATGCAAACTTGTAGATTCATATAACCCCATATAATACAATAGATATCAATACAATGATACTTTACTGACAAATACAGCTATTCAGGAAGGTATGGGAGGGTAATGAGGACTGACGGAGGTGGGAAGAGACAGATGAAAGGATACATAAATAATTAAAAAGAGAAAGATGGACAACAGAACATAAACAAGCCAACAAGAGAGAAATACCAAGAAAATGAAATGTCCGTTTCTTTTTTGTCCTGCAGCCTGATTTGTAATCTTACTTCCTGTGTGCAAGAGGATGGAAGAGGATGATTGGAGAAGAGAAATGGTAAAAAGGAAGAAGCCTGGAATCAATATCGGCGGCCAATAAAGGCACTGTCAGCACTATCCGTAGTGCATCGACTGTCCACAGAGGTTTCCAAGTCTGAGAAGTCAAAGGTCAAGGCAGCGAGGAAGAGAAAAGACACAAGGCAAATAGTCAAATCATAACAGGAAACACAACAGACAACACGTAACCACAATCTAGCTGACAAGGGCGGATATTTCATGTCACTAATGGTGGGGACTCGGTCTCAATCCTACCTGCGTACGCATGGTGCGAGAGGAGAGGGAGAGCCACTGACTGAGATTGCTCTGAGCGACACGTATGGGAATACATTCACAATTACAATATAATTACAATAATACCTTTGTATATTTCTCACTTTCCCTCTGATGGTCTGAATAAATCACTAGATTTGCTGTTAGTCGCTTGAAGGTCTTATAAAAGGTAGACAGTGAACCAAACCACTGTGAAGTTAACATTACTATGGAAGGAAGTAAACTAGTTAGCTGGGCATGCCAAAATATTTCGTATACCAACTATGGCTCTTATTACATCTCCATACACACTGCTTCAGCATGTGGAGAAATCCAAAGCCTGACCGGCCTCAAAGTTCAGGGGAGTTGTTTAGCAAGTGTTTAATTTAAGGTGTGATCACTCAGTCCTACAGCCTTGTATTAAGCAATGTATAAATAAAACTAAATATACAAAACCAGAGTGATTTAAACCAGCATAAGAGGGCTGCCAATCAAAAATGAGGTATACCTGAATACCTGAATCAACAATTTACTCACATGCACCCGATTGCCTGGTTCCCAGAGTGCTTGGTGCAGCAGGGAACCAGGTTGATGGCAGCTTTGCAATCATGCAGCAATTAAAATACAAATTGTCTGAAATTAACATTAGCTACATTCATCAGTCACTATGCAGCCAATCACAGTCTAATAGATATACCTGCTGTGTGTATGTGGTGTTAAAGTAAAACCACAGAGACAGTCAAATCAGGTGAAGTATTTTTGTTACATTGTTGGTTACAATGTAGGAAACATTTCATTACTTTCCCCAATGTGCAGTGTAATAAATTACTATTTTAGCTAGTAAAAATTACAGTTTATATCACATTACACACCCAACTCTTTCTTTATGTTCATCCTTTTTTTATGTTCTATTTATGAAGGCAAACACTGAGCGAGTGTAAGAAAAGCTCACTACCCCTATATGGAACCATTCTCATTACTATCATCAAATTCCTACACTACAAATGATGAATAAAACCACTTTTGGTTAATGCATATAGATTAAGCCATGAGAAACATCCAGCAGGCATAACAACTCAGTGGGATTTCTGATGGAAAAGCTCTCAGCAGTGCAAGTCCTAAAATCAATGGCCACACACGATTAATCAAAGAACACACATTGAGTGGGCTATCTCCTGACCAGTCAATGAAGTGTACTTATTTGTTTGCCTACAAGGAGAAAGTTATATACTCAACAGCCAATAATATCACAAAATCTCTATTTCTGTGGATAAACATGCTGCTCTGGCACATCAATCCTGTGCTATTTTTCTATCATGGCAGACATTTTCCAGCCCGTATGGGATTAATATGGTCCTGCATGCAGTGTAAATTGGTGGCCAGAATGACATACAAATGTTGTAAACAACTTGTGAACTTGAGAAATAATTTCCTTGAGCGGTCGAACTGCAGCCCAGATATTTTGCTGCATTTGAAATGTCTTGTGACTGTAACTAATTCATTTGACTCTGGAATCATCTGCAAGTGGTTTAGCACAGAGTCATCCCTGTTGTGCTGCACTTGGCAGGCCTTTCATGACAAAATGCATAAAACAACATAGGGAGGATCTCAAAGCGCCCCTGGACACATGCATCACACTGTACCTCCAGCTTTGGTCACACTCAGGGCTGGTGGGGAGTAGGAAACCTCAGATATTATAGATTGTTTATCACTGGTTCTGAAAATTCACATTTCCCAGACTGTGCACTTACTTAATAATGAAACCTTGTTATTTTATGTGTCATCTGCTTCCCAAAAGGGAATCAAATTCACTTACTTGATTTTCTTATTGATTTATTTTCTATAAATATCCAGTATGCTGGAAGATATCATCAGCTTCTGCTGTAAGAATAAATTTTTTGAAATTCCTGTTCCTGCTTTATGAGAGCTAGAAATCTGTGCAGCACCCACTCTTCTTCATAATCAGCCTTGTGGTCACATATGATCACTTCCACGATTCAAGTCTACAAACTCAAACTCAGTCTAACATACTTGACTTATCTTATAGCACTTACCAAAGTTAACGTTATAATCTCCTCCACGTTCACGGTACATTTGGTAGACGAAGAAGCAGGACACAGGTTTAAGCAGCAGGCTGAGGATGGCCATTCCTGCGCTGAAGCGATACAAGTCCCTTCTGGTAGTTGTTAAATCAATTTGCGGGTAATAGATCCCAAAATGGATAATGTCGGTCAAAATTGTCACAACCATCCCGATCAGAAACTACAGAAAAAGAACAAAGAGAAAGGCATCTTAATGGACAGAGATGGTGTGTCAGTATGGAAAGTGCTTCCATGCTGTGAAGTGCCAACATATCTATGTAATTATGCCAAAGAAAGATGAGGAAAGATTCCTTGCAACAAAATAAAGTCATTCCAATTATGAGAAAAGAGCTTTCTGAGGGTAAATGTCTCTACTGCGTTTGTTATCTGGGACTGTCAAATACATATTTTGGGATGTCAAATAATTCACCAAAAGCAAGAAATGTGTGTTAAATATGTGAAAAAAGATACATTGAAATTACTTGGAGTTAATTAAATAAAAAACTAGGTTACATAATGAGCGCACAAGGAAGGAGCACCATCTCCCAAAACTAATGCAATTGAGGTAGGGGTTGATTTGACTTTGAATATGAGTATGCATCATGAACCACAAAGAAATATGTGCATTAATTCTTCTTTCAACTTTCTTTTTTCACTTTGGCCAGCTCAGTCTTTCCTGAGGGACCCTGGCTGTGAGCAACAGTGACACTGGACATTAGAGTATACAAGGTAAAAGGCTCAGAATCCATAGCTGTCAAAAGTGTCATTGAAAAAGGCACTGGACAGCTATTTTTTTTCTTACATTGCCTCATTGACTGATATGTCTAGTTCTTGACTATGTAAATAGGACTAATTTGCCAAGAATTGTAGGGAAATAACCCCCCACCTAATTAAAAAACATGGCTGATGGCTGAGCAACTGTGTCAAACCGCTCAGCTCCCTTCACACCCCCAGCCTTCAGGAAGAATTACAATTACAAGGCAGAAGCATAGTAAGGACTTCCCATACTTCCATGGTTCAGGGAGAAGGGAAAAAGTCTGAAGAGGTCAAGCAACACTTGGTGGTATACATTATTGTCATTCAGGCTCAGGACAACTTCTTTGGACAATCTAAAACTAAATGACAGGTTACTGCGCTCTCTAAAAACTCTTCTTATTGCCTATTCCAAAACACTTTTAGCTTTTGTGTAATTTGGCGCCACTGGTCAGCAGCTGCACTACTTGTTAGCATAGAAACATGAGTCGTGGTTCAGAGTTAGGATAAGGTGGCTAAGTTTTTAGGCTTAAAATATATATGTCTTTATTTTTGTGAAACTGTCTAATTTACACACAATACACAATTAAGACTGGCCTAACACTACCGCCCCTGGTGCTGTAAACTGATGACCATGAAAAGCCACAGCTACTGCACGCTGTGCTGAATTAAGGGAAGGCTATCTTTCTCAAAGGGACACTCACAGATTGTCCTAGATTCCACAGACAAATAGGTTAGCACGGATATGCATTGCTGTGCCTATAGATAGACTCCTGTATGTGTCACATGATATTAAGATTGCAGCGTGCGTGAAGGAATAAAGGCAAATACTCACCATAAGCACAGCATCAATCGAGTCCCTCTGTGCAATGGCCCAGACCCCAACGGCTAAAACGCTGAAGTTCCCCCAAGCAAAGGAGAGGGGCAGCCACACAACCATACATCCCCTACAGCAAACATACAATTCACACAAGACACAAGTCACATTTGAAGAATTATGTTTGATTATGCAAGTATGGGAATTGGGAGTTGAAGAGGTTCAAGATTTCGAGACAGTCTCTGTGTAGATATGCTTTTGTGTGTGTGCCAGAGGAGGAGAAAAATTCCTCAGGTATGTGGCAAAAAAAACTGTGCTCACACTCACCATGTTGTAAGCAGCCAGTGCACCAGTACTATGGCCTATGATGGAGAAAGAAAGATGAGTGTTAAAAGGAAATATAGGATTGTTAACTTAAAGTTAAACCATATTTATTCCTTTCCCTATGGACACACTTCAGTCTACAGCTGGAACGATTAGTCACTCTACAGAAAATGAAATGAAAACAATTTGGAAAATCGATCAATCACTTATGAACTAAAAACTCCAAACGTGTTATATCAGCAAATCTCTTTTTTGGAAGTTTGGTGGACAAAAAAGGACATTTGAAGGTGTCACCTTGAACTCCGGGAAACTGTCATGGACATATTTCACAATTTTCTAATTTATAGCCCAAACAATTAATTAATTAGAAAAAAAAAAGATTAATTAATACTGAAAATAATCATAAGATGCAGACCTGGGTGAATCTATGTATGTATGCTCACATGCGAAACAAAGCAAGAAACTACAGAACTGAACGTTAAACATGTGATCAATTTGCATCCGGCATGAAATGTGAAGCTGCATCAGGATGATTGATATCATGGCTCCACAAATTGCACAAATGCCTCAGTTCACTTATGTATGTTCCTCACAGAAAGGTCACTGCCATATCATTTCCTGCCAAAATTTTAAACACAACAAGTGGAGACATCAGAAATGACTGACTGATTGTTATTTGGTTCAACTTCTTATATCCAGTAGCAAAGCTGTATACATATAAATCTTGTTAACATCTCCTACAATGAACGGATTAATCACTATGTTTGTGTTTCTGTCATCCAATAATGTTATTTAGTCTGTCCATAAGCCTGTTGCTCATCACTGAAAACATAACTTTTAAGTCTATGATATGAAATGCAGTTAAACATATTTTTGGAGGCTATATCTGCTAAATAACTTAACACTGTGATCTGTGTCTGAGACAGGGTTGCCACATAGAGGAATTACCAATGAGAACTGAGCAACACAGTGGACATTAACACATGATTTAACACCAGTCTTTGTTAAACACTTTACAAAGGCAGGCTACCACACACAATTTCAACATGACAATCAAGTAAAACAGCAAACTCACCTTTAGATTTATGGCAGGGATTTCCATAACAGGCTGTTTGGTCAAAGCAGCTCTTGTACTTGTTGTGGGGGCTACATGAAAGAATACCAAGGTTTTGTCTTACACAAACTTCTCTCCCAAACTCCTCCTCCCTTCAGCTCAGCCTGCAAACATAAACCATGTGACAGCAGCCTGACTGTTTCCCATGTGACTCCCTCCCGCCTCACTCCTACCTGCCCCTCCTACTGCTCTGCACTGGGCCTCAGTCACCCAGGAAGGAAGAAACCACATGAGTGTTAACAAAGTGGTCACAGTTTTATTTTACCTTTTTCCAGCTTTCAGTTAGAGTGGTGTCCTTCCATAACTGACACACTTATATAAATATATATATATATTTATATAAGTGTGTCAGTTGAACCAAATAACATCACATGCAACACATCATGCAATGATTTCAAAAGGTCCTGTTGTGACTGATGGAGGTTTTTGTTTTTGATACAAGGACGAATGTTTTAAGATCAATTAGATTAGAATCAATTAGATCAGATTAAAGCAACATTATGTCAGATTTTGTGTGATTTGGCGCCCCTCCCCTTTCAGAATGTAATTCACCGCTGTCATAAATAAGGATAGCTGTACACGTGCATTTGTTATGATTACATTTCTTATAACAAAACTAGCAAGTCGATAACTTCACTAACGTAGCCAAACTTCAAGCAAGTGCGACAACACAAGACATAGCAATAGTACTTACTAGTCCAACAACAAGACGGCCAGCTCGGTGTCTGTCTCACTGCCTTTTATTTCCTTAAGCTCTCAACAACACGGCAGCCTCTTGCTTGGTCGATCTCTTTTTTTGTCAATGTCCTCTTCGACCTCTTCACCTATGCCTTTAGCCAACATTATGTTGATAGAGCAGTAGTTCTCAAACTTTTTCACATCAAGGACCCCTAAACTTGCTTTTGAATGTTTTAGTACAGAAATTTGATGAAACCCAAGACCCAAGTAGTCATACATTCTGTTATTGTGTTACTTATGGATGGAATTAGAAGAAAATAAATGATTCTCCTTTTTGCTGGGGACCCCGGGGATCCCCCTCAAGGACCCACTTTGAGAAGCAATGCCATAAAAGGCTGCTGAGCCCGATTACGTCGCCCATTCTCTATCACCTGTTATTTTGTAGTAGAAAAGTTACATAATGTTGCTCGGTCACTTGCCGTTACTATAAATCTTGAGTTAAAGAGGTAGTGCTCATTCTCAGGTTCAAAATCTCATTTAGGGGTACCACAACAGGTTTACATGGTTTAATTTTCAAAAAACACCATATTTTTGTCATACTGCACATTGCTGCAGCTCCTCTTTTCACTTGTGTGTTAAAGGCTTCGTTTTAGCTGTGGAGTGATACATCTTGTCTCTAAATGATCTTTGTTGGGAGCAGTTCCTAGTTAAGGACTACTAGCCAATCAGAAGCAGAGAAGGGTGGGTCAGTGCGAAGCTGGTAAACAGGGCTTCGGTTCAGCTGTATATCCCCTTACCAGCTTAGCAACATGGACAGTAGCAAGAGTTTCAGAGTGGTGAGTTATTAATCTGTAACAAAAGTATCTTTCATCCATAAAGTTATAAGCTAACTGAGCTCTGTCTCTACATCACAGTAACAACTTTAAATATATTGACTGCCTGGAGGGTAGCTAGTGTTTGGAAGAGAGAGGAGACTGTGAGCTGCAGCTCAGTGTTTTTCCACCTGTGTTTTTGAGGGCGTATCAGAGTAGCCGCTTGGCAAGCGTTATATGACATTTTGCTTTCATCCCTGTGACATCACAGTAGCCCTTGTGTTATTTCCAATGTCAAGATAAAAGTTGCACACACATACTTCTCATTCTACTTTCTCCTTTTGAAATATTGTCACTTCAAGGTTCTGTGACTGGCATCTGCCCTTCTCCCTACTGCTTGTCTGAAATGACGCCAGTCTCGGGATTTAAGCTCATTTAACCCTTGAACTCAAAGTAAGTCACTGTGGACGAGAGTGGATAAGTCTTAATGCTAAATGTCTGACTCAGTCTTTCGTGCTTCTGTCTACTTATACCTTAAAGGAGATGATCCATTGTATGCCTCAAGCATGGCAGATGGCCCCTGCACTCCCATATCCAGTGTGAACCCTGACCTCCTGCTGACCTCTGACCCCTGTGATAGAACATGACTCAAGATTTTTCCATCTCATTTAAGGATTTCTGCTTTCAAACATTTCAGAGCCAAATGTAGCAGTCCTAATACTCTGCTAAATGTGTTTGTATGTAGATGTGGGTCAAAATGAGATTGCAGAGTGATAAATGTAGGACACATTATTTCATTTGAGCTGTAAGGCCTTTAACCATCAGAGGAACTGATGTAGTTACAAATAAATGATCCCTTTTACATCCTAACCTGCTGTGACAGACTCGACAAGTGAATGGCAGTGTGCAGAGTGCATATAGTGATGCTATAGCATTTCTGTGTGTGTTTAATTATTTTTCATGATTTATGGTCTGTTTCATTGTCTCTGAAGCTGTTTAGAGAGACTTCACATTTACCCTTAATTTTACTCATTTCACAAAAATTTTACTCATGTAAATTGTGCTCACTGTTGTACCCATGTCCTTTTGAGAGTCCCCTGATGTTGAAAAGTTGGGTTAAAATAGCAACATTTGGTAATTACTTCAAGGAAGCCTAGGTAAGTGCCTTTGTGGTGTTGGTGACGCGAAGCTGCAGCTCTGCCGGGATGTGGCTGTGTGTAATCTATCACTTCGCTGGCTGCTGGCCAGGCCGTTCCACCAGAGCACCCTGTCAGAGGTAACTATTAAAAATACATCACTACTGCTTTTATTCTGTGGCCGTAAATCAGGATGGCACAATCACAGACCGACTGAGCTGGTGGTTAGGAAAGAAAAATGAGTCTTACTTTCTTCATCAAATCAAATATTGATACAGATAGATTTTCAGAAGCCTTCTGTGTTTGGAACAGAGACGTGCTGAATGTTATTGGTTGCACTTGCTTTAATGTGTCCTAAGCTTTGCATAAATGGTTCTGACACCACTCAGGTTAGTAGGGAGATAATGAGCTTCAAAGATTGCAGCATTCATTTTATCACTTGGAGATAGATGGCACCTTTGTATTGACTCAACAGTCCTCATTTTCAAGAAAAATATGTGTTTGGAAGATGTGACAAAATCTGTTTTAACGAGAAAATGGCATGTGGATCCTCATAAAACAAATGTCATGATTTTTATTCTTCTGAAGCATCCCTAAGAAGAATTTCTCTCTTTCTCAAAACTTTAACCACATTCTTGGAAAATGAAGGAAGGAAACAAGACATTAAACTTCTCTCTTTCTTCAAAACAGCCATTTACTCCAGTGCTGTGGTGTTTATCCGTTGTTAGCAGGTCCACCAAAGTTTTTTCCTCACTAAACTCCTCAGATGTTTAATTTAAATAATTGTTTGAAGCTAAAATCTGTCAAATTATCCATCCCATGTGGAGGTGATGGTTCAGTGGTGTAAAAGACCTCGGTTAGATTCCCACTGCAACATCAATCCACCTGAGCAAGGCAGTGAACTCCTAGTTGCTCCAGAGGTGTGCGACCTCTAACACAATACATAGCAATTGTAACTCACTTTGAATGAAAGTGTCAGCTAAACGAGTAAATGTAAATATTTCACAATAAAAGCAAAATAGAGAAAGTGAGAAGATGTACATAAATATATGTAGCAGAACTTTGTATCTTCTTGTTTCCAGCCTGATTTATCAATTCATGACCTCCAAGATTTCTCTTGTGAACCTCTGGAGATAAGGCCCGACTGCCCAGTTTGGAACCAATGAATTAAACAAACACACTGTATATAAAGTAGTTAAAACTAGCTCCACCTCAAGCTACACCAAGAAAATGCTGCTTTCACAATGATGGATCAGTATAAACAATCTACTAATGTAATATAAAAGAATATATCTGTGACTGGGGCAGGACAAGGACTTTCACATTTGATATTCTAAGTACATTTTGCTGATAATACTTACTTTAACTTACGTAGGGGATCTGTGAATACTTCCTCCACTACTGCTGTGTCCTTTGAGAATTCATGGGGCTGAGGCCCATCAGACACCTCAAACAAGACAAAAAGAAAAATTTGTTCTGTCCAATCCAACATCACAGTGCAGACTTCAGACTGCACACTGATGGACATCATGTTGGCCGAGGCTTTGCTACACCCGCTTGTAAAAAGGACAATGTAAAGCTACAGATTTCCTCCACACTGAAGACATGTCTTCATAAATGTGCATTTAGTAATAAAAGCTTTTGTGATATATTTATAACAATAGGATTATTTGTCTATATATGCAACCTATATGCAATATATTTTTTAATCTAACAACACAAAAACATCTGTGAAAATTACTGTTGGTGGGACAAAAAAAGTACAAGCTAACACAAGCTAATGCCTGACATAGATTAAGGTCAGTGTTGCAAATATAGGCGGGTTTACACCACAACATGTTTATCCTAGCAAGTGTTTAATCATGAAAACAAAGACAGAAACACAATACACAGACGAACATGTGCTTAAGTACAGTATAAATAAAAACATATATTAAGACATGTAAAAAGAAGGTCAAACACGCATCTTTGTTTATCATTCTACTGTTAAGTACATTTGAAGAGAAATTATGTCAATTTAACAAAAAGTTGTTGGCAATTCAGACATTCATATTTACAATACAGGACAGTAGACTGGGTTCAAATAGCATTTACAATTAATGTTTAGAAACAAAACATAGCAGAGAACTCATATAGAAACATGTCAAAGTCATTTTAGTATAATTTCTGTGAGTGACAGCTTTACAATTTGAATAAGCCTAAAGCAGTGAAAGCCTCCCATTGGGACTCCAAGCACAGTAATTCAATACTAAAAATTATTTGTAAACATTGTTTCACCCAGATTAGCAAGACAATCTCCAGAACCTTGAAGTGACAAATATTTCAGACAATAAGATGCAGGAAAAACTGTTGAGAGGGATTTCAAAAAGCATTTTCCTAAACTCACAAAGTGTGCCTTTGCTCCAAAACCAACAACAACCATAATTGAGTTTACATATTTAACTCAGAGATGTGTTTCCAGCTAAGTGAATCTTGTATACCAGTTTAAAAAAAACTAAAAAAAACAAATAGTCTAAAAACTGATCATTGTGGACTGAGAGAGTTTTTAAAAGCCCCTCCTTGTGTTTTAACAACATGTACATGTGCTTCTGTGGTGATACTGGAGTGACCAAAACTGAATTAAGACTAATGGATGGATTTTAACTGAACTAAACAAGTGCTTAAAGATGGTGATTTGCTGGATTGGAAGGTGTGGCTCATCACACAATGCAACATTAAAACAGAATATCCAGTTACGTCACCTGTTATTTTGTTTTACCTGACCAGATGTTGACATCTGGATGCTTTACACTGTGGAGTTGATTTGAAAAACCAGCAAGCTGTCACCTTTCAGCACTTAGTCTGTTAGCAGTGTAATGTGATGTCTTGGCTGTACTATCTACTCTGTGAAGGGCTCATTTTTCCTGCTCCTACTCCTTCAAGCTCCTCCATCTTGGCCTCCACCTCCTCTTCCTCAGATAGTGATGAAGCCTCCTTGGTCACTGCTGACTGACTCTGGTATAACGCAGCGACCCTTCCTCCTGGTCACACGCCGCTTCCGGTGGAATTTAGCATAACAACGAAATCCTGAAAGGTCATAAATACCCTGTTATCTGAATAGATTAAACAGATATGTGTGGATGTGTTGTGAGATACATACATAGCTAAATCTGCCGTGCTATAGAATCTAAGAATGTAAAAATGAACATTATGAAACCCATGAAAGGCAATTAGACCATTTTATTTTAATGACAACTGACCTTGGAGTGATATCTGCCTCTAAAGCACATACAGATAACAATCTATCAAATTAACATTTCCAAACATAAAATGTAATTATTAACACTGAGACATTTTCTGTTTGCCACTAAGTCAGTCTGCCACTAATTTTGGCCATTTTAGGGACCTCTACCCACTACTAGTCAAAGGCTTTTAAAATCATAATTATAAACAGTGACACTTGGGGAAATAACTTAATAAATACTGTAAAACTTAAATTAAATACAAATAAATGCAGGTCTTTTTGAGACCTTACTTTACTTTTTTTGAATGTATAAAACCTCTTGAAGCCATCAGGACACCTGTTTGAGCTATAGTTTTAATCTGTTTAGAGCGTGCAAATATTTAAACTTTTGTCAATATGGACATGCTACACATCATTAGATCAGTTCGATTCTCCACAGTTCAATCACTTAGGTCATTTTATAGAAACAATGAGCACCAATATATTATTCATTCAGATTTACCGGCATGGTAAAGGAATTAACGGCCTGACCCATCTAGACACCTTTCCCAAAGACAGGATTAAAAAAAGAAATAAAAGCTTGGGCTATTAATTTCAGTTTTACAGTATATATATGCTTAAAAAAGTATTGTTTTAAATAATATTTAGGAGTAATCTATTGAAAGATATTGTAATATTTAGGAGGATCTATTGACAGAAATGCAATATAATATACATAACTATGTTTTCAGACCTTACATAATAAACAGTTATGTTTTTATTACCTTAGAATGAGATATTTCTATCTGCATACACCGCATCTACAGTAGCCCAAATGGACAAACTGCTCTACAGAGCGCATTTCATCACTACGTCGAATACGTAAGAAGAAGAAGAAGAAGTTGTCTGGTTTGTTAGAAGTAAGAAGAGAAGTGAAATTTGGACAAATGGAGGACCACACATATTATTTAGCACAAGAGCCGACAGAGCATGTCGGCGACCGTAGCTTCTCCTACGCTAAGGGATGGGTGAGTGGTGACTGAGGCATTGGTTGCAATTTGCAACCCTCACCACTAGATGCCACTAAAACTTACACACTGAACCTTTGAAGTGAAATTTCACCTTTTGGGATGTATGCTTATTCACTGGTTGAGAGTTATTAGAGAGTTGTTAGATCAGATTTACAGTGGGTTATTATTATGAGCTGGACTATCTCTTGGTTGGGACCAGTAGCTTCATGGACTCTCTGCTGGTTGCCTGGCAACTAATCAGACTGTTAGCTTGCTGTAGCTTCATGTTCAAATGAGAAATTTGGGTGTGGTTTCCATCTTTTCATCTAACTTTGTCAGAAAGCAATTAAGCCTGTTTCCCAAAACGTCAAACTATTTCTTTAAGCAGTGACCCATGTCTTGTGTGATACTCTACATTTTTACCACACTCTCCTTACTTACCTTCCTCACACATGCAGTCATCGTAGCATTTGTTGTTGAGGCCTCGGTTGTGAGGTTTACACTCATGTTGTCTCAGGTCACAACAAGAACCTTTAACATAAAGCGCACATTACATTCAACATCCAAACACGGGATACCGCCATGTAGAAGATTCATATGAAACAATGATGAAGCAAATCAGCGAAATTCTATGTAAGGATGTTTTTCTCTGAACTTTAGCTTTTGAAAGCCTCTAAATCATAAAGAAGATTACAAACCCAAAGGACAATATGCACTGTTACAATTAAATTCTGGCATGTTTCAGTATCAGGTATGAAAAACTTGTCTGTCCACACCTGAGGAAAATTTGTCTCTTGTTTTCCTTTGGTATAAACAAAACATTACTGATTTCACATCATATGATTTCTGTTGTTTGTAAGAAAAATAGTTGAGCAAATTTTGACTTTTGCATTTTGGAGCATCACCGAGTTGAATTGCGGTCCATGTATGATGCAGACTGACCTGGGAGACAGTCCAGGTGGTGGTCACATGGCTCGATGGCATCAGTGTCTACAGTCAGATTTCCACTGCTGAGGTTCTTACTCCGCCTTTTGTCTGCAGTAGAGAAAGGAAATAAACAATTTGCTCCTAAAGTCAACCGATCAATATATAGACTCAACCAAACAGATTGATTGATTGTCAAATGTTCTGTCAATTCATACATCACAATTTCAACATAGTTCAGATATGAGTTATCTATTATCTCCAAGATTAATTAATTATTAATTTTTAATATTTTCATTTAATTGAAATGGAGAGTAATTAAAATATTGCCTCATCCAAAAGTCATTTTGATCAAACTGTTTTTTTGGGAAGTCCAGACGTCTTTTGCTACATAGCTTCATAGAAAGTGACATTAATGTGCTAATAAAAAGCCTAATGAATTTAAACACTCACAGTTGCACTTGAATTAGTTTAGATAATCACAATCTGTGTTTGGATTAAATAAAATGGTACTAATGTAGTTTTTAAACAACACTTGTGTAACTCTAGAGATGGCAGTTGGCGGTCTGTAAACTTTGTTTTCAGACTGAAATCTCAAAAACTACTGTATGGATAGTCATAAAATTTTGTACAGACATTTATTGTCCCCCAGTGGTTGAATCCTACTGACATTGATGATCTCCTGATATCTTAAAAACTACAAATTGCCATGGAATTAGCTAGAGATATTCAAGGCCCCTAGAGGATAAATTCTAATTACAACGGAGATCCCCTAACATTTCTTCTAGCACTACCAGCAGGTCAAAGTTTTCACTTATTCAGTGAAATATATCAACTACTATTGGATAGATGGTCACCAAAATTTGCATAGTCATTGTTGGTGCTCAGAGGATGTATCCATATGACTTTGGTGATCCCTTGACTTTTCCTCAAGCATGAGGTTTACATTGTTAGACTCTTAGTCGTGTTCATTTAAATATACAGTAATAAAATAGGTTGATGCATAGTATTAAGGATCATTTCAGTTTGGTTTGGATTATTTCCACCAAACCTGTTCTCAAATCACAACCTTTAAAAACCCATCAATCACAATTACTAACCTTTCTTCCTGGAAGACGGCCAAGTGTCCACAGGTTTCATGTCTTCATAGTCTGTCCAATCAAAGAGCGCCATGTCCAATGTTGGCATCACTTCTCCTTGTCCTTCTCCTCTTCCATGCCTCTGAAAAAGGAAACATAAATTGAAGTAACACCTTTCATTTTATAACTGTTATTTAATCTACATTTCAGTGGGAACATTTGCATACCGTCTTAAGCTAGTTCTGAGGTGCAGCGCACCTGGTAGAGCATGCGCCCCATGTACAAGGCTGAGACCTTATTGCAGTGGCCCGGGGTTTTCCACCCTGCTGCCCTTTGCTACAAGTCATCCCCTCTCTCTCTCCCCCATTTCCAAACGCTATCCACTATCTTGTCTCGCTCAGTAAAGGCACAAAAAATCCCTTAAAAATATATTTAACAAAACATCTCACATTCTGTAAAAGACACTGACATGCAGATCTGTAAACACCTAATCCCATCAGCATTTAGATTCAACATGATGTGTAAGGTCTACCTCCACAGTAATATTTGAAATATCTTGTTTATTTACGTATTCAAATGCAGTTGTGATCAGAATATGAAGTTGTCATTTAAAAACTAATCCTAAATTTGGCACAATCCAGCAATCAAACTGCTTTAGAGAATACACTGGAGAGAGCAATTGTGTCTCCTCAGATGAATGTTCAGTTACTGCAATTAAACCACTTCAGCAGTAGATGATGATGACTATGGTTTAATTTGTTAAAATCAGCATTGCAGGTAAACACATTCAGGGAGTTCATAGTCAAAACACATTAGACTCGTGTTGTGACAAGCAGCAGTAATGCTTCATTGATTCATAAAATGTTCTCACCGAGACAACAGAGATAGCAGAAGTGCTTTAAAAAACAATCGATTGGGAACAGAGAACATGACTGCCCACATTCTGAAATGCAAATATACATTGCAGGATTTGTATAATACATATACAATAAACACATTGAAACATACAGTTCATTACACACAACCATAGGCTTTACTGCGTGCCACTGAGGACAGCAGGCAACTAATGCAGTTTAAGATGTTTAAATATATGAAAGTCAACCACTGATCCAACTGAACCAACCGGGCCCGCAGGTTATTTGTGCCCACTAGCATTGGATTTCTTAACAAACAGTGAAATAATAAAACAGTGCTGAATCTGTTTTATTTTTTTGTTGGGGAGCTGCACCTTAGTATAATCTGCAGAGCACTCGAGAGATGTTATTGTTGGTAATGCAGTTGTCTGGGTGTTGGTTTGTTGTTGGTCTGATGTTTGCTGTATGACACACTATGAATTTCAGAAAGGACTAATAAATATATATCTATCTATCTATTTGATTTTGGTAGAAACATCATAGCGTTTTTAGGAAAATGTATTTTTAAAAGCAATTTCTTACTTTACTCTCTTACCTTCCTTTAAAAGTAAGTAGTTTACAAAGTTTCCTGAGTATTTTGCCTAAGTAGTCTGCCTTGTTTTCCTGCGCTGCCACTTATTTGGTCAAACTTTTGTGAAGTTGAGGCAACTAACAGTACTTGATTAAGGTTAATGAAAGACCTTTGTCATGGTTGAAAGAAACCAACATTGACTGTTGATAGGATACAGGATGCAAGCTGCTGCCAGCCACTTTTGTCTGGAGCCACAGACTATGAAATGTGAACAAAAGAAATGTCAACGCCTTATTCTAAGAAATCTAGAACTACTGAAGACATTTTTCTCTTTTGAGAACACACACCTTCCATTGTGGAAAATCTTTGACCTTTTCTTCTCAGACAAACCTTTGGCCAAAATGTTAGCACAGCACACTAGATTTCACATCATCAAAAGGTCAGATTGTCAAAAACTTTGCTGAGTATATTCATGTTCCCAAGGGGTAAACCCTTTTAATTTCACTGATACCACAGCCTTTACTCTTACCCCCGACTCACACAGAAGGCATGTGCGATTATACTTTCCGCCTCTGTGAGTATGGGAGGGGCCTCTATGGTCTGCGTGATGAAAAAAACGTCATCAGAGGGCGTCAGTTCTTTGCGGAAGTCCACGTGCCTCCTGTCAGTGCCGAATCCGTACCACCAGCAAGATCCATTCTGCACATGCGCAAAAGTGGTCCTGTCTGCCAAAGGTTACCACAAATGTGCCGTGTGTTGTTGTCTGTTCTCATCTCAGGGCATCAAATACTGACACTTTCATAAAGGCTGACAAAGCATTACTTGACCCTACAGCTTCCGTATGAGAAACCTCCGGGTCTGTGAACAGTTTCATCTCCAGTGATTAAAAAAAATGTTATCTCGATATGAAAGATTTAGTTAGATCATTTTGAAGAGGCAGATTTGCGGTAACCTTCTTTGGCTGACAGAACCACTTTTGCGCATGTGCAGAACGGATCTTGCTGGCCATACGGATTTGGCACTTACACATCCCGTTTTTTCATTAATGGACACTTTGGCTCAAACGTAAAAATATCCAATTTTGACATTTCATTTTATTTCTCTGATTCAAACTCCTCTGTACAATACATAGTCAGTCTATTAATCTTGCTTGAAAAATACTTTATTCATAAATCAAAATTTATGATGAATTATATAGTCTGTATTTCTGGACTGAAGAGTAAATCAGCATCAAAATGTTTACAACATTTATCTAATATAATTAATTTAACTGATATTTATTGTTTGACACTCTGGCTGTATACTTTATTTTTGTTTTATAATTTATTTATTTATTTGTTTGTTTTTTTGTTATTTAGCTGTGCTGCAGCTGCAGGAGCTGATTGCAGCCATTCTAGTCAATGCTTGTGCTCACACCAGAAGTGCTGCAGCGCGTCCCAGAAGCGGCTCTCTACCGCGCGGAGAATAGGCAGCCAGTCTATTTTGACAGAAGCCGCGTCAAGCAGCACAGAGCAGATGACCCGGGCAGGAAGTCAGACACAGAAACGGCATATAGAATCCAGTCGATTTTCAAAATAAAATACCCTTTTCAGACTCCCGTTCGTGTATCAACAATAAACACAGTTAAACAAAAAAGAAACTATTTAACTACGTAGCCTACTTAACTATGGCAGAAGCAAATAAATCAAGGACAACTGAACAAATCAACAAAAGCTGAACAACTCAGCAAAATCAGGCAGGCAAAACGCTATTATTCTGAAATTCTCCATGTGGGATGTGCACACAAAATGAAAAATAAACAACAACGCTTCCAGTGTGAGTTGACGCCAGGCTGAGGACAAACCAAAACGCGGTGCACACGCCGCCTGTATGAGTCCGGGTTAAATACCCTCAAGACAAATGTTGGGTTTTTCCCCCAGTGTTAAGGCTCTAAGAATAACAAAACAATCAGAACAGGATGTTGTTCTTTCTTGTCAACACTTTCATACTGTGGAATATATTGAACATTGCAGGCTGAGGCTACTATTTGGAGCTTTAGACTTTAGGTCGTTTTCATTATATGACTACTCCAACATATACCCCTAGTATTGATATATGACAATATTTAATTTTGTAGTAGACACACATGTGGTTTATGTTTCAAGACAGTTTCCTGTGTGTAGTTTTCCAAGTCAAAAGTTGGAATGGAAAAATAAAACAATAATGGACAGTTTAAATTTTCTCACTCCCTACATAGTCAAAGTCAGTAGATGTCATAAATTCAAATATTTTACCTTAGTATAATATCATCATTCAGACAAGTGTTTGATGACATTGCTATATAACAAAACTCCTTGGTGGATTGCTCAGCCATAATTTTCTGCAATAAAAGCCATAAAAACGTTACCACTGTCCTTTTCCTTACACAGAGGGAGCAAAATAGAAAAGTTAGACACTATAATTAAGTCAGCAGGACTTTGAGATGTCTTCTGAGAAATACTTGGTCCCGGAAACACATCCATCCAAAAATAAGAATCAACCTCTTCGTGGAAACAGATCCATACTTGTTTCCCTTCACCCTCAGGAAATGAGCCAATGGAAATATCAATTAGATTAATTGCACTGGGTTACCTACTTGGGCTCGGATGCTTATTAAACCATCAACAGAAGATCGAACATTAATTAAGAAGCCGTGTCGCATGCTCAAGCCAATGAACCTAGGTTCAGGAAAAGCTATCAGTTTTTTCTTCTGTGGGCCAATAATATTTGACTGTTCTCACAGCAAAGACACAGACTCCTGGATTCTCAGACATCTTGTAAAGAGAATACCAAGCAGGCTGACAGTCCTGTCTACAGGCATCAGACACTGACCAGGGAACAGAGCCACCGCAACTTCTTTTAAAACTCTTAAAAGTGCAAAACAAAGTGGTATAAAAATAGCTTTGTTTCAGCAGTTATCACTCAGAAGTACAAGTTGCACAGATGATACAGACACCATGTTTGTGATGATTGGAACGTTTACTTGTATTATGTTTATCTACTGTCTATTGTCTGTGACGATGACTTGTCTACTGTAAAACAGTTTACCTATGGGTACAAATAAAGTAACCTGAACCAGAAAAAATGAGAGCACCAATGGTTAATCACCTAAAATAATCTATGTTTATACTTTCCTAACAAGCAACCTTTTGTGAATAATGTAAGGTGTCTGAAAATCAGTGGTGGAACTAGAGGGACATTGTTATAGGACCGAAAAACTGGGAGGGTGGCAGTGCTTGAAGTGGAAAAAAATAGGTGCCAGTACTCTTTCAACTTCATATTATTACATTAAATACAAAGTATGTATTATATCATAGACTATAGATTACTAATATAGCTTACAACTTCATGCAGAAGAACGAGTTCAACATTTCAAAAGTCAGCTGATTGGGGTGTAACTTTGTGTTGTAAAGTGGTGGAGACAGAAGGCCTCAGATTAGGGGTGTGACGACACACTTGGGTCACAAGAACAAGATGAGAAGATATTTTAAGTATTTTGAATAATATTCGATGCTGAAATATATCAGTGGGGGGATCTGGGGGTCCTCCTCGAGAAGACTTTTTACATTAAACATTTAATTTCTGCACCAATTCATGGTGGAAATGTCTTTATTTATATGAAGGGGAACAAAATTAAGGTGGCAGATGACAATTCAAAATATAAAAATATAATGGAATACAAAGCAGTAATCAGCAGCTTGTTGTTTTAGCTTAAGTTACTTTTTTGGACATTTGTTTCTTCTACATTTCAATTGCATTGCACATTTTCTTATTGTGCATTGTTATTTAATATTTCTTGTTGCAAGCTGTTTTTCAGAACATTTTTAACAAAAGCTTCCAAAAAGTGATGGAGACACTTTGATCCTGACCTGTCCCGAGTGTAAATGTGTCAATATTTTTAAATGTCCTGCCCCATCCAGGCTGTGATTGGTCGGTTCACAAAAACTGAAAGCTACTTTCTGCACGTGGCTGCTTGAAAGGCATCCAAGTTTCTGTTCTTCCTTGTCTCTCTCCGCCGACAGAGATTAGCAGGTAGGCGAGAACAGGAACAGGTGAGCGTCACGTAGCGCCCAGTGAACCTGATATGCAGAGGGCAGAGGAGAGTCCCGGCAGCTTGTGAGATGTGCCAGCACCATACGCCAGCATGCAAGAAAAAGTCAAAGAGTAGAATGTGGAGGTGCCGTACCGGCCCACTTCAAGCACTGCTGGGTGGACAAAGTGTTTGACACCAGAGAAGGTGGTTCACATCCTGTCTCCCAACAGTCAACAGAGGATTCTTGACCATGATCCTTCCCTGAAGGGATCCTAATTCTTGGTATCGAATCGAATTACATTTTCAAAGTTAAAACATCAATGGCTTCAAGGCCAAAATGGCAATGTTTAGGGTGCCTTTTCAACATTTGGCTGGGGACAACAGATGAAAATTACCCTTCTAGGCTAGCTATGGCTCATTTACATCGATTCCCACTGTGAGACATCCACCATTGTGTCCCTGAGCCAGACACTTAACCCCTAGTTGCTCCAGAGGCGTGCGACCTCTGACATGTACAGAGTCGCTTTGGATAAAAGCATCAGCAAAATGAATAAATGTAATGTTAATCAATAAGAACTATAAAACAAAAATTTAATTAAAATAAAAACCTTCAGTACTTCTATTAAAGTGCATTGCAAACGTTTATTCCAAATCACTGGACTGGAGTATGGCTTGAAGATGTTTCGCTGTTTATTTGAGGCTTCTTCAGTTGTCAACTGTTGTCAAAATAGTATTGGTTTTAGTAGGTGAACCTGTCCTACTGCTGGGTGAGGTCCCACGGGGATTAATAATTAGAATCCTTCCAGAATAACATCTTCAATCAAAACCCTGTGATTTGTTTTTAACTTTCTCAAGACAAAATGTTCAGTCTGGTTAAACATCTCAGTTTAAATGTAATCCATGAGACATATTTACCGTGATGTTTTGAGCAGCACTCCTCAACAAAACTACTGTCAATCAAACAGTCTCCTGATCCTGTAACTAAGGCAGATATTTCCTACAAGCTGTTGAGTATTTGTAACAGCAGCTGTGAAGAATGTAAAAGCTTTCATGAAGTGGCTCAGTATCTACTGACATCAGGTGTCTTAAAGAGTCTAATTTGTAACGGTTCCAAGATTGACGGAGGCTTGGGAAAACACGAGTGATTTTTCTCCTTATTAATGCTGTTTAAATGCATACTGTTGAAGCATCATGCTGCGTGAATGTGACAGGTGGTGTGTGGTACCCCACGCACTCCTGCAGATTTTTCAGTGTATGTGCCCACAGTCGGACATGAAAAACACTCTCTGTGCTCACATACATTTTGTCCTGCCATGGTTTCTAATAAAGGAACAGGAAGGTAGCTATAGAAAATGTGCTGCTGGACTCTGTGATTTTGATCCCAGAGGCGTAGTTTCATTATACAGAACACGGTCATATTTATCATACACACTGTGACCGAGAGCCAGTGAATTTGGCCTGCTGGAGGATATTTTTCACAAGCAGCACTTTCAGGTTCACACAGTAGAGAGTGTCATTTCCAAGATGAGCTATGAGGTTTGCGGCAGCATAACGCCAGTAATGGGGCCCATTTTTGCTCTATTTCCCCCTCACACTAGGATCACACTGAGGCACAACAGACGCAGCCTTTAATAAGCACTTGGGTTTCGTTGGGGTTACCTGGGGTTTGGTGGAGGCCGGGGGCAACGTTGGGGGATGCTCGTTCATCGCCGTGGTAACCATGGAGGAGCCGGAGCCAAAGACGGCTGCGATGGGGGAGGGGGGTTCACTGGGTGGGGTCACGCTGAGGGAGGGGGAGGCAGCAGAGGAGGGAGTATCATCGAACAGATCTCGGTCCTTAAACGCAGAGCTCAGCTCAGGCTCAGGAAGAAACCCTGGACAGACAAGATAAACAGAGAGAGAAAATATTATACCAATACTGATGTGTTATGACTATGTTATATATGACTTTGACTAAGTTTACCATTTTCTAACAAACATGGAACAAGTTTGCGTTAATTTTTTATTCAGAATTCTAAAAAATCTAATGTTACCAAACCTTAATGAAGCCTTAATAAGTGGGAATGTTATGTACTGCCAATTAAATTATGGAAAATGTCATTCCTAAATGTTCTGTGAACATTACAAAAATTATTTTCTCCCTAAAGATAGTCTCACCACAAGGTCCATTTAGTAACTGATTTGGCACTTTTGTATCAAATGATCTTTCTCAGCCGATGGACTTTGCCTGGTTGTTGTGGAAACATAAATTGCCTGAGCACTTTCATGACTTCTCATAAATTTTAGCTTAAAAGATGAAAATGGATATGTGAACACTGAAAAAGCAGTGAGAGCTGTTATGAAAAAGATTGTGTGTTACAATCCAAAGCTAAATGGACCTTGGCAAGACTGTTGTGTCAACTACTGTTTCCAAGGTCAAGAATGAACTTTCAGTCCAAGGTCTTGGATTTATCTGTCCAGGTTTTGAGATATTTGTCTCTGAAATTTCTGCCACCAGAAACAAGAGCTTGGTTACTCTGAATAATCCACAGACTTTTATTATTTATTCTGTAGAGGTATAGTTATTAATATTAAATTCTTCACAGTGACACCTTATCTGGAGTCACAATGCAGGACATTATCTATGGATAGAGAGGTTGCTGTTAAAAATGTAATTTTATCATTGACGTGAGTACCATCAGATCGGTTCTGTTTAAGTGTCCCAGTTAGCCATGACAGCATGTCAGTGAGCCAGCATGCACAATCAAAGCAGATCAATGGAATGCAGCCATAATTCATTTTATTATTTACACCTGTGCTGTTTGTTCTGTCACATGTCAAAATGTCTTCTTGAAAAAAGCCTACAGCTCCTTGTTACTTGTTCAACACTGTAAATCACTGCAGATGTTGATAATTTGTTAGAAAGACGATCTATGTTTTGGATGTCTGGATCAGTTGACTCACCTTTTCCATGCCGCCCCTTCTCACGACGACTCCCTTGTCTCCTGTGCTCAAAATGGTGCCCATGCCCATTCCCATTCCCGTGTCCCCTTCCTTTGCGTGTCCCAAGAAGGTCGTTTTCCCGGGTCTGGGATGGACTCTTCATACTCATTCGAACTCTGTCTCTGTCCCTGCCAGGGCCCATCTCGAGTCTCACTGGGCTCAAACTTTCCAGGCCTGTCCCATCATCCTCAGGCCTGGCCAGGGGATGCAGGGACCTGTGGGAGAGAAGCCCGGCTCCACCTTTAGCAGCACGGGCCCCCTGGCCCCCATGCCCTCCACGGTCCCTGTTGTAATGGTGGCCCTGTAGACCATGCAGGGGGTGCTGTAGGGTGTTGCTGCCACTTGCTGATGTCTGTGCCTGTCTCTTTTTGCCGTGAGAGGCTCCAGGCTCAGCACCGTGTGACAGTACTAGGGTGGCAAACAAGAACACCAGGAGAAGACTCCAGAAGAGAGCCATTGTCTGTAAAGCACAACACCACCTGCTGGGAAGAGAAAATACATCTCAACACTGCGCACATTCTGCTTGTAATTAGATGCAAATCACTGACACTGAAACCTAAGATTTTATCGGGAATGGTGATTGTTCATGCCAAACAATCTAGCGGTTTTGAAGGATCAGTAGACTGAAAAAAAAATTAATTGATGGATTGTTGGAGAGACAAAATATGCAGGTAAATGAGAAGGCATCACTTTGGTCAGTAGCAAACACTAATCAGTATTTGTCATTTCATGAAACAAATTAAAATTCGATTAATCAAGAAAGTAATTGGTAGATGAATCATTAATAAAAAATATAATCTATTACAGCCCCACATACAGTGAATTCTTGAATTATATGTACAATTTAAGAATTTGATGTAACATTGGAGACATGTAAAAATCCTAATATAAAAATAATTTTGGACACTAGGCTGAAGAATGTAAATGGAGTCTACTTTCTTTACGATTCCTTCAAAAACTTTCAGCTTTCTTAAAGAATTACTTTCTTAAAGAAATCTATTTTCTTAGTATCACATACTCACAGCCTGTTCTTCAGCATTATCCAATTCTTGTCATTAACACATACTGTACAACCAATAGTGGGCTATCCAACAGAACATGTTTAGTGATTTATTGTGTGGTGAAGTGGTTTGAGGAGTTTTTTATTGATGTTTTGATATGTTCTGGCATGGTTTCCTATATCTTCCTGTGACTGTGGGTTGCCATTGGAATCCATTGTACCTGTTAGCAGCTAGCTTTCATTCCTGTGCAAAGGTGCACGATGTAAATTGCAAACTTTTCAGATGTTTGATACTCAAAAGAAATATTTTCAGTAAAACATACCTTTAAACCCACTAAATCCACTGGCAATTCTATTCTATTTTAGCCATGCAAGCAGCTCTAGGGATGGCAATGTCGGTCTGCTGATCACACAGTTTCTCAACTATCACATGCATTGCCATGAAATGTGGTACATACATTCATGTGCCCCTTGGGAGGAATTGTGATCAGTTACAGTTTGTCCAATACTTTGATTTGTGGCCAAATACCTGCAAAACTAACAAGCTAAATCTGACCAATGGGAATAGCCAGAATTAGCCAATTGTGTTAAGTATATAGGGATGGGGATCGAGACCCGGTTCCAAAAGGAAAATTTCTCAAAACCCGAAAATCAATAAGGTTCGAGCGTCAAATGTTATTTAATTTGAAACGCAATGGATAAAATCATCAGGCTGCAGTCTCTGCCTGCTCTCTGTCGGCTCCTACACACACACACACACAGCTGCAGCAGCAGAGCGAGAGGCGCCATCGCGGTGGAATAACGTTACGGTGAGGGTTAAGTTAGCTCCAAACTACTGTAACATTAGTTGATGACAGCTAAGCGCGTTACTGTAAGTACGTGCAATAAAACCTTTGCAAGTAAAAAGGCAATAGTTTATCAATACACCTGTCTGTGAGGTAACGTTAAACATGTAGAAATGGTTAATTTAATCATCTCTGTCCTCAGTATCTCATCTTATATATTTTATACAAGCACAGCTAATGCTAGCTTGGCATTAGCCAAATAAAAACAAGCTAAATAGAGAGCTGTCTGTCTGGAGCACAGACTGGTCTGTAGTCTTAAAAACTCAGCTGCTGGCTGAGACAAATCAGCTGCTCTTCCTTCTACCTGGTAACGTTACCTGCAGCCAGCGAGAGAGGAGGAGGGACTGATACAGACTGATGGTATTCTTTCTAAACATCACTCGCACTTGTGATGTCAGATAAAGTTATTGAGTTACTTTGCTGTTGTCTAGAAACAACATTTAGCTGTATTTAAAATATTAAATTAAAAACAACCAGGCAGTTTATATTTACACTTCAATATATGTTTATTTATCGCAAGTGAAATGTCATCTCAATATATTTTCGCTCAATAGTTATCGCACATTGAATATTTTCCTCATACCGTGCAGGCCTACCCATAGACTAGCCTACCTCATGCCCGTTAGGTCTGGTCTTACCAAATAACCATCACTAAATAATAGTAAAGTATCGGTAGTGGTATCAATAAAGAATCAGATCGTTAAGCAGCCTCAATAAGGGTATCAATCTCAATAAAAATTAACGATCCCCATCCCTAGTTAAGTACTAATTAGCAAAGCATGCTTACTAATATGAACATGACATAGCCACAATGCACCATCAACACAGTATAGCCTTACAGATCCAGGCAAAAGCATGGCTGTGGACTTAGTAGGTACACAATGTATTTACATTTTTAATCAATGGAAAATCAGTAGCTTTCAAATACAGCTTTCGCTATTTTTAACTACATATTGACGGCAAACATCCAGCCTATTTACACAAGTAGAACTAGATAGTAAAAAAATAACATAAAAATTAGCAGGAGGCTGTAATCTTTCGTTTACCTGTGTAAACAAAGGCATTTTCTTCTGGGAAAATATCAGTCACATAAATAGGCTAGGTCTAACTTGGACCCTCAGGCATTTAATGCAGAAGGTCCTATCTGAAACCAAATGAATGTGTCCACTGTCCTGTATCCTACAAATTCAGACCTTCACTCCCTGCCTCTTGAGTGGGCCCATTTATCTTGACTTGGTGGGATGTGGTGAGGATGTGATAAAGAGATGGACAGACACATGTGCTTCTTTTTAGAAATGACTTCCAGGCCTTCATTTATGTAGCTCATACCTTCTTCAATATAAGAGACTGCACTGCACACATCCTTCATCACTGCCTATTCAGTGGTCCCAAGAGCCCTCCAACCGTACCTTTCATTACAAAAATCAACATATCTGTGAGGTGTGACTTAACTGAAATATGAGGTTCTGTGTATCTGCATTAAAGGCCTGGCACCTTGTCCAAACATTAATGAAAATGATGGTGTTGGAAAAAACAAAGCACTATAGTGGAAGGATTTTTCTTCTCTTCCTTCCTAAGGTTCCAATCTATATTGCAGCCAAGCTCAATTCAAATAGTGATTTAATGTCACAAAAAGTTTATTTGTATTCATAAAAACCTTTAGTTGAATATGTATTTTGAACAAGTCTATTACAAGTAAGCCACAAGAGAGAGAGAATATTTCCTGGGTTATACAGGTATAATTGATGGCTCAAATTGATGTTTAATGCAATTAACTTACATGCATTAAACTCATCACATATTAAACAAAAACAATGGGTATATTCCTGCACAAAAGGAATATTGTAAGAAACCAAAACTTAACTAATAAACAATCCAAATATAATACTATTCCACTAAAACTTTATATTTGATATTTAATTATCAAAGGGAATACCAGTCTTCTCATTCATAAAGAATTCTGTCATGTCGTGTAAGATGATAGGTCATGGTGTTGTTTCTAAACATGATAAGGTTTGTTTTGTCCTTTTACTTCAGAACATTGAGTCAATGCATTGGCACAGACACATATAACGCCATAATGGTGCTGTGGCAGGCGACTCCTTTGTGTTAAAAGACAAACGGTGGTGCAGGGCATACAGAAAATCAATGAGGGAGAAGTATTGAGCTGCTGGTGATGGTGCGCGTGTGTGTTGTGTGTGTCGGTGAGGTGGAGTTAGGGGGGTTGAAAAGGTGTCTGCTCTTTCATCACACTGATACACACCAAGTTGAAAACACACACCCTTTGGGTTTACAGTGGGTTATTTAGTTGTTTCTAAAAGAGGACAGTGGTGTCACGCGTGTGTGTGTGTGTGTGTGTGTGTGTGTGTGTGCGGGGCATAGAGGACGCTGGTTATGTTGAGGGAAATTTGTAGAGTGCAGGCAGCGCCTGGGGGATTTAAAGGCAGACTGCGTCGGCTGGCCTCTGGGAGTTCGACCAGCTGTGCAGTTTGCAAACAAGAGTGTGAGGCAGGCTGCTGAGGTGAGACCTTTATCTCCAAACAGGCCTTCAGAGTGTCAGGGGGGAGGGCAATCAGCCGTGTCATGCACAAAGTGTTTAGCCAGGATAACGGTCTATCTGTTTGACACATGAGGTGCTGTATGGCCCTGGACCCTGTACGGCAAAAGGGCAATTTAGTAAGAAAACAAAGAAAACATCCAAACTGAACTGTGGGACGAGACAGTGTGTTAAAGGAATAGTTCAACATTTTGGGACATACGCTTATTGGCTTGCTTGCCCAAAGTTAGATTAGAAGATTGATAAATGATGCTAGAGCCAGCAGCTGATTAGCTTAGCTTAGCAAAATGAATGGAAATAGGGGAAAACAGCTAGTTTGGCCAACTGCTCTAAAGCTCCCTATAACATGTTAAGTGTAAAAGGTGTGTATGTGCGTGTGATAAAATGTGTTAATTAGTAAGCTTTAGAGGTGCTGTTAAGACGATTTTTGTTGTTACCTTTGGACAGTGCCAGGCTCGCTGTTTCACCTGTTTCCAGTCTTTGTGCTAAGCTAAGACAACCAGCACCAGTGTCAGTGTGCAGACATGAAAGTGGTACTGTTCTTCTAACTCTTGGCAAGAAAGCAAATAAGAATATCTCTTAAAAGCTTGGATTATTACTTTCTAGAAATACCTAAAAAATCTACCCTTGAGAATCAAATACTGTGGAATATTCCTTTAATGTGAGCAAGATTCTGGAGATTTGTGTTTGATCTCAGAAATCAAAAGAAGAATAAGCAGATGCATCCATTTCTTGTCCGTACACGCTGGTCTCATTTGGAAATTAACAGTCAAAATGTTTGCAGAACAGAATCATCTGAGGTGGAAACACCTCAATGATATGACCCTTCAAAGAATGAATTTTCCCAACACATAAGAAAGATGTGACACCTCCATAGAAACTGAAGGCACCATGCCTCAATCCCATCAAATCAAAGACCTGAATAGACCTGTCATGAGAAAGAGAAGGCAGGCGGTGGTGGAGGGGGGTCGAGTATCTCAGCACAGCAGTGGCCTGTTTTCCTCTCTCAGACTTTCATGTGCCTCTAACAGGTGGTCCTTTGAGGAGACAGAGGATGGGGATGATAATGGAGCACTCTGGGTGGCATTCCGGGTTTTAAGCACAGTCTCTTGCGTGTGATAAACAACCTCCGCGAACAACACAGCCTCCTGCCAGAGCCTGTATTATACATGGCTGTGTGTTGCACACAGGGCACAGCAGGCCGAGCATCTGCTGCTGAGGCGATGGGAGGCGAAACAAGTGGCCTGGAACTGACGAGCTTCATTCCCAAATGAGATAATAGGCAAAACTGAAACAAAATCAGAGTTTGGACTTTAGCTTTCATGGTTTTAAGTGTGTTAGGATAGTTCTGGCTTATAAGAACAAAACGGTATTAAAGGCCCTGCAAGCCTATTTATTAATCTGCAACTTAATATGGGTTAAGGGGTCAACATGAGTACAATATTTTCTGCCAAAATTAGAAACTGTTTTCACTGATTTGAAGTGGATGAGGCTCCGTCGGAAAAACATGATGTCACATATTCTGTGCACCGGTCACGATTTATTTAAATCACAATCTGACGACAATCTGCCATTCCACAAACAGCTGTGGGGCTGTTACTAAGAATGTGTTTTCCAAACTTTAACTCTGATTGTTGTTTATTTGGTCATAGAAACCAAGTTTTCAAGGGCATTAACAATAAACATTAGATCCTTCTTTAATTTGATATACAGAAAAGCAGTTTGAATTCTCTAAAAACTGACCCAAAAACTGCAGTTATCACCCAAGTACAAAATAAGGGACTGGGACTGAATTTATTAAAATATTTGACTGCCTAGTTAATTGTTTGGTCAACAACTTCGCAATAAAAATGTGTGTTTGTGCCAAGCGGCAAACTTCCGGTCTCTGGGCTGAAGCCAATAAGGATGTAGCTAAAACTGCAATTCATCGAGTGGCCACTTGAGGCTGGCTCCAAAAGGGAGTCAATCATAAAATGGCCAACTTTACAGTAGACTAAAACATGTTTACAGCCTGGTACAAAGGAAGGTTTTAGTGTATAGGCTATGGCTAATGTTGCCCTGCATGACAACAGTGAGGGGGGTGGATTTTTTTATAACTCACCTGTTTAAATTATATTAAGCCTTAAAGTTCTGCATTATTAGGTGCGTGTCTGCTTTCATTGTCAGGTGGCTGCTGCTGATGTGACTGGTAGCCTATGGTTTGTGTGTGTGTGTATGCCATTGCTGTGGCACACACCAAGTTAAAAGGTGTGGAGTTGGTGTGTCTAGAATCAGGACATCCTCTATAAAGTGGAGAGAATGCTTGTGATGTCAGGGGAAATTTACAGTGCAAAAGTAATGTAGTAAAAGCAACAAATAAATAAATGTTCTTGAAAGGGACACAACAATTTATTAGCCCAACTTTATCCTCACTTTGACCTCAGTCAGGATTGTTGTTCTGAACCTCCGATGTTGAGGCTGTAATGTTGAGTATGTCTGAGCTCAGCAAAGCATGAAGAGAAAATATCTGATACAGTATAAAATACAATGAAATCTTAAAATCAATTCTACATTTATAGGAAGCCAGAGCAGGGAAGGTAAATTTGGTTTATTATGGTTTACACATTGTAGGAAACACAATATAGGTGTGTGCCAAAAATTTTTCTAAGCACAGCGTACAGTGTGAGACGGCCACCAGGGACACATGAATCACAGCAGAGTGTGATAAGTATGATGTGATAGGTAATCTTGCAAGAAATTGGAATGAGGGGGGGCACTATTGGAGGGCTGGATGATTAAGCTCTGATGAGATCAGAGACCTCTCTCCAGCCTGTGATCAATTGGTCGGTCCCTTAAGCATGGAGGCACTTCTGTGACACACTCGTTATAAAAAATATACTTAACAGTGAGTGGACCCAGATCTGTGGAAGGTGAGAGAGGAAAATCAGCGAGGCGGAGCTGGAGGCGCCCCTGGTATTAAACTGCTGTACGTGTGCATCTTTTAGCTTCACCTGCTGTGACACCAAACCTCCAGGAGCCATCTGCTCCTGTTGTTTTATCTCTCATAGCAACCAGCAGGGCCATAAGGATCCAGCAAACAAAGACTCCAGAAACAGGCTGTTAAAGCAGAGCTGTCATGTCAGGCAGAGGCCACCTTCAAGGGGTTTATTTTCTTTTGCTGGCCACATACTGAGATTAGAAGTTAAAAGGAACAATTCCAAATTTTGGGAAATACGCTTTGTTGGGCTTTAATGTGTTGTGGTAGAGAGTTAGATGAGAAGATATCTGTCAGCAGCTTACAGTAAGAATCTATTCTCAACAGACATGTCAGATAATAAGAATACAAATGCATGATTAAATATAATAGTCACAAAAACTGTATGTGTTGTCTGTTGTGTCACAAATACTTGAGTTGTGCTCCAAACAGAGCCATTCATTTCTGTCTTAAAGTAATAATGCTTAATATTTGATGCATAAACATTCACTTTTATATCTCTCATCTCGGGTAAAATAGATCTAGTTTGCATCACCAAATAATCATAAATATCAGCTCAATAACAAGCATCCAAATTACAGCTCCAGTTAGTGCCTCTGCATAATAAACACCTCTGCCAAAGCTGCAGTTCACGGCCATAAAACTTCATTTCCTCAAGGGCCAATACCACTGACTTCAGCAATATAAAAGTGTTTTGCCTCCCCAAAATCCTCTGCAAACAATATCAGTGGGATTCACACATTGACTGTGAGGTTTATATTTTTGCAGCTTTTAGGTGTGTGTTGGATGGCAAAGGCCCCTGGAAGCAACGCAGGGTGATACAAAAAAAACAAGAGCCATAAGGAAGGTCCATCTGTCAGCAAGTGAGCCGGAGCAGAGAGAGGGGAGACACCAAATGATTCAGTGGTAATTTGGTCACAGGTACAACAGATGTTGGGTGAGACTAGAACAATGTCACCGATGCATGGTAACATCAGCGACATCCTGAGACCTTCAGGCCCTTATCTTCCATTTGCGTGCACTGAGGCCTGCATACACTCATTCACACACACTCAAGAGACTCTCTGTTACAATCAGTGCATGCACACACTCACAGCGGGGGAACCTCCTCCAGACACCCACATTGAGGCATGTTCCAAAAATGCTGTGAGACACAAACAGCACCAGAAGCACAGCAAGAGGCGTCCCACAGAGAGGAGAGAGAATGAGTGAGACAAAAGGGAAGAGGAGGGTGGGGGGGGGGGGGGGGTTGAGGAAAGGAGAAAATAAGATGTAATGTGGAGAGAGAGGAGAGGGAGAAAGATGTGAGACAGAAACAAAGAGGGAGGGAAAGGAGAGAAACTGAAATCAAAGCGGGAGAGAGGGACAGAGGGAGGATTTGTCTTATTAGAACAAAGTGTCGGCGGCATCTTTCATTTCGTGGCAGATAAGGACACCAGCTGAATCCCCTCTATCACACACAAAAAAGCTTTGGCTTCCAAAACCACCAACAAAATTTCCTCTTTGCTAAACTGTTAAATCTGAACAGCTGGGTCTGTATCTGGACCTATGGGAACAGTTTGACCGGTCAGTGTGGGGGAGGCACTCCCGTTTAGAGATGATCAAGTGGAGCATGTAAACGCATTATATGAACCCAAAAGTTTCTCTCTCCCATTCCTTTTGGCGGAAGCGATCAGCGCTGACTGCCTGCCAGTGTGGAAAGAGTCTTGATCAAACAGATGCAGCCACGCTTGGCAGTGATATTCAAGGCGAGTTTCACACCGCGGTGGAGGAGGCTGGATGGATGTTTAGCAATGTGGTCTTTTTGGCTGAAACTCAAAATTAGGATAGACAAACTGTGATTCTTTAAGGGTTGTCTGAGTCCTTGTTTGACACTTTCAGGCTGCATGGTCTATTTCTTTTAGATCTCACTCAAAAATGGATATACTTTTTTTGGGAAAATACTACATTAATTTACACTTGAACATCAAATGATGCAAGCATGCCCTTAGCTCATCTTTTGATTTTCATATAATTCACTTATTAGTGAATCTGAGCTTTGTTTTGGCCCTAGGTCAACTCACTGTGGGGTTCCTCCATACTCCTTCTGATGGAGTCTAATGCTTCCCTGCTGATTGACTTGCTATTAATTCACATTAACTCCTCAATGTGAGTCCACAAATATTGCTCCTTTGCAGTGGTGTTTCACTTTTAATTGCATGGTGTCACACTGACTCCCAACTTTAATCTCTCTATTTCTCCCCCCTTCCTCCCCTCCTCTATCACTCCCTCTCTCTCTCTCTCACACACACACACACACACACACACACACTTCACACTGTCTTTGGTGTGCAGTGAGCAACAATGAGCTGTCAAGAAGAGATAATCGCTGCAATCATTTCTGATTCTCCTCACCATTCATCCAATAAATTCCTTTGTGATGTTGATCTGATTTTTAAAGCATGACAGCAGGAAGCGCCTCCATAACAAAAAAGTCAAATTAATTATCGGGTTAACTCTGTTTTTTTCCCGGTGTCTTACGAAATATTATGCTGTCATTTTGGCTCTCAAACTGTTTTTTATCAGTAAAACTGGGAAGTAACTATTTGCATTAATTAAGTTATTAAGTTTTATGACATTATGAAGATGCGTTTTTACGCACAGATGGAAAATCATGGCAATCCGATTGGCCTATAGGCTACATTGGTTAATGACAATTGTAATAAACATAGGTTATAATAAGGATTCTACTCCATTGTAGCTGCAGAACTGAGAACTATAGACAATCTATTGTACGAGTAACATGAAATAAGGTAGGCTACCGCGGGGTATATGAAATTACCATAAAGTCAGTGCAAACTCATTTGAGCATCACTGAAACAGCACTAACCCATTAAGAGACATTGAAGAAACGATAGTAGGATTTCGTTAGTCAACAAAGCGCCAATAACCAACCCAATCACTTACACTGGGGATAATGCAAATAGTAAATGAAGATAATGCCTTACCCGCGTTTGTTTTTTGCTGTTGTTTTCCTTTGTTGTTGTTTATGGTTTGAATAGCAGTTGAGTCATATGGCTGCAGGCTGACAGCGGACAGGACCGAAACACAGCAGCAGCAGCAGCACCTCTGTCGTCCGCTCTCCCTGCACCCCGGGATGTGCCGAGCATCCGGACGGTCTCCTGCTTCTTAAGAGGAGGAGAGTCACCAACGACTCGGTGTGCGCGCTCCCGAGTGCGCGTCCATGTCTGGGGCCGACTGGCTGATTGTCTATCAGCAGGGCTTGTCCCAGCAAGTGAGACAAGGACCGAGGCAGTAAGAATTGGCATAGCTTTCTGTTGGTATTTTGTCCTATCTGGAGGGAGAGACCAAGATAACAGAAGCTGAGAGAGATCAGATTTTGTTTTCCAAGTGATCCATCATGATTTTTTCACAGCCTGTCAAAACTGTTTCTATCACACCTGGATGTGTACAATGCCCTCAACTGGATCCAAGATTAACTTTACAGAATCAGTTGCATCCTACAATAATTTGCTCCAAAACACACTATGGTCCAAAAGTTCACATATTTGTGTAGTTTTGTTTTGGGGATCTACAAAATTGTCCAACGCGATGGACAGTTAAGAACAAGGTTCAAACTCGATGCGGCAACCACAGAAGCAGTGATAACATCTTTTTGTATTCTGTCCTCCTTGTCAAAACATGGCGCCTTCATTTCCCACGATGCAACTCAGCCATTACTTATGTCTGGGATCCGGATCTTGTGGGGACAGTCTGGGCACTTCACTTTTTCAGCATGACAAATTGTCATGTCAATGTCCATAAAGAAATGGTTTTCCCACTGTGGTGTGGAAAAACAGAAATCCATACCAAACAAGGCCTTAGCAAGGGTTTTAGAAAGACAGTCAATGAATTACTGGGATTTTTCATATTTTACTTGTTTGATCACAACATTCTGTGGGTTCCAACATCTGGCGGAAAGCCTCCTCAGAGGAGTTATAGATGCAAATTAGTGCCCATAGTTTTGAAATGAGATTTTTCACATACACGGCCTATGGGTGTAATGCCTGGGTGTCCACATATTTTTGGCCATACAGTGTATGAGACAAATACATGTTACCTGGTGTTTATTCCTCAGTATTTGCTAATACAGACAATTACGTCCTGTAGGCTACAAAACATACTTTTTAAACGAGCCCAAGAAACTCGATGCAACACCTTCAGTAACATTCAGTAGTGGGTTTGGTTTGGTGGATATCCTCTGCAGTGAAACCCTGGGACTGCATTTTTCATGCCCTGTTCTTTCTTGATCCTACAAAGTCAACTGACTGCAGAGCGCCAGCCAGACTAATTCTGAATCTACACTATGAGCCTGTTGTGTGTCGACAGATTTAATGTTGTATATTTGCAGAATGATTGTGCACTTAAGGGAATTGGTTGACATTTTGAATTTTCAGTCTGTTATTTTGTTTTGTGTGTCCGCCCTGAAAAATTGCTTGTTAGGGTTATTGAAACCAATGAACAAGCTTTTATACTCATTTGGTTTGAATACAAACAATGCTGACAAGCCACTTAGTGAAGTAACACAGAGGGACTGAGTCTGCTGGAGGAAGATAACAGACTAAAATTTAAAATGCCTTTAGAAATCTGTATAGAGTGCTCAAACGTCTTACATCATAATGGGTCCAATTGTGACTCGCTGAGTCATTTAGTGTGTGCCCTGTATATAAAACATGCATCCTGTGGATTTCTTTGAATGTTACATACAGTACATATGATCCATGTTTCATCATGTGTCTATGGATCGGGATTATTAAAGGAGGCTAGTTTGCACGCTGATGCTATAGTGAGTGTTCCTGGTGCAGTATAAAAACACATTAAAACACTCAAGTTGACATTTCCACATATTGCTTCATGCTTGCAGTCTGTGCAAGGCAAATTTGAGCAAGACATCCGACAGCTCTGTAAAGCGCTAGATGGCCTTTGAATGGGACCCCTGTAGCTCCTGTGTGCCTCGTGTGAAACTAAAGAAGCTTTTTCAGAGATCATGATGGGAGTCGGTGTCAGTGGCACACATGTTGGAATCAAAACCTCTGTACTTTTTTTTTTTTTCACAAACATATTCTCACAGGTCTGGATTCTACAGCATTGCCAGGTATGAGCAGTAGCTGCAGGTAATCCACACATTCTCCCCCCTGACAATGCTGGTGGATGGATGGTTTGTTGCAGTAGATCAGTGATTCCCACCCAGTGGGTATGTGGAAAGAAAAACTTAGAATTCTGAGTTGGTCCCAAAAAAAACCAAAAAACATATATTCAAGTTTGGGTAGAAAAAAACCTACCAACATGATTACAAATTGGTGTGAGGCTTAGTTTTAATAAATGGGCTGTCAGCATGGGACACACCTCCCACTCACCTGATTCCACTGGTGAAATGTATTTGTAATGTAAATTTAGTGAAGTACTACACTTGAGTACAAATTTGAGGTACTTATACTTTACTTGAGTCTTTTCTTTTTATGCCACTTTGTACTTCTATCCATTACAATTCAGAGGTGACTTGACTACAAATTAAGATTTTTGCACATGAAGTTTATAAATGTGTTTTGTTATAAACTAAATTACCCAACAGTTCATACAAGTACAGCAGAAACAATTAGTCCAATGACAGAAAATTTATTCACAACTGTTTTCATTATGGATTTTGTTTTAATTTTTAAAAGTAATTTTGAGGTTTGGACAGTCAGTTGGACAAAGCAAAGTATTGTGAAGGTGCTTTGAGCTCTGGGTAATTGTGACAGCATTTCTCACTATTCTCAGAATTTTTTCAAACAAAAAATTGATTAACGGGGGAAATAATTAGCAGATTCATCCATAATGAAAATCATTAATTGCAGTACAAAATAGTTCAAAATGAGCTCCACCTCAGCAACTACAGCAGTAAAAGTATGAGTTGAGTATGAGTTATATGAGTAATAACAATCTATTGATATAATATATAATAACATTTTTCTGCATTGAGTACTTTTACTTTTATTACTTTAAGTAAATTTTATTGATTATACTTAATACTTTTACTTAAGTAACATTTTAGTATTTTGTATTTTTACCAATATAACACCTGAACACCACCTTCTGAGACTGACAGTCCAAGCCATCGGAAAAGAAGAAATAATTAGCATATTAACATGCAGCACATAGTGTCCAGAATAAATGCAAACTCAATCAAACCAACTAAAATAAATGAAGAACAATTATTCCAGGATTGCTGTGTCATCTATAATTGTAACACTCTCCATTTTTATATATGATGATGTTCAAAAACATCAGGGCTGACAGATAAAAAGGTTGGAAACCACTGCAATAGATATTACAGTAAGACGGAAGTGGAAAGTGGCCTACTGGAAGGCCATTTTTTCTGACATTATTTGAATATCCCAGTACAGTAAGGTCCACCATTCTAACACATCAAGTAAAATAAATAACAAAAAAGTTATTAAAAATTACCCAGGAGACACAAGAGGGATTTACGGTATATACATATATAAAAACACAAACTACACAAAGTACGGTATTGTTTCATTGTAAGGTCACATGATAAATCAAATTAATGTTATTGTTGCTCAGAATCCACAAACGGTTCAGCTACAGGGTTGAATTCAAAGCTGAAGGAAAAAGCCTTTTGAAATCAGTGTTTACTGTAACTACCATAATTAGTGTTATGCAAACAGTGACAGTCAATGCAGCACTGTTTTCTCAGGGCCTGTGGTATCATTGTGTTATGAGCATGTAATTAGAAAGTTATACAGTGAAAAGCCATGCAATAAATGGTTGGTCCCACTGCAGCTGCAGAAACAAGTCTATTGAACTGTAACTTTGAGCCTGGTCACATGCTCCGGTCATTCAAAGGGAAATATTTTGGCTTCAGTGCATTTGAACTACATACAGGTTCACCTGCAAAATAACAGAGAAGCAGACACAAAATGGTCACAAACGACGCCTCTCTGTGGGTCTGATGCTCCTATGCATGGGTAGGTGGGGGGGCTATAGTCTCATAACCTGCCGATGACTGTACTGATGATGAAGGGAAATTTTGATTATACAGCAAGAAAAGAAAGATACTAAACACAAAACCAGGACAGACCTCATAAGTTATACAAATATGTCACTAAATCCAAGAGGGTATCTTGCAGGAATAGTGTGCGCGTGCACAAGCGCGCGCTTTGGCAGTCAGAGTGATGAGCAAGAGGAAAAGCAGGAGGACCCCCTGCCAGGCGTCCTCATGCATTATCAACCCGAAGCTCCCCAGCAGGCATCAACCACCACATACCAGCTTTTATACCGCCAGGGGCAGGCTTGGTTTTTTAATATGGGGCAACTTTCAACTCTCCCTATTCCTCTAGACGGCTGCCATCTCCCCTGACACATGCACTACAGAAATTAATACACACAGTTAAAAAGAATAAAATAAAGGTTTTCACCATTTATTTAAAATTGATTGTCAGTAGAATAATACACAAAGTTGTGCTTGGTGTGTTTAACTGAAGTGATGCAAATGAATTATATATATATATATATGTATATGTATACACACACAAACAAAAAATTGTATATCACATATATGTACAAATGAAGTTACAATATTGCAAGTCCACATGTCAAGCAACTGTAACTTTGGGAAACACTGTCACACCAAGGCAAGGCTTTTCAAATCAGACCGTGCCTTGAATTCAGATATTTAAGATGATGTCACCATTACACAATCAGCCACTTCACAATCACAGTGTTTGATGTTTGTTACAACTAGGTGCTGCAGGATTATTGCCTTCAAACAATTGCATTTTTGATTTAGGGATGGATTACAGTTTGTACTTTTAAATACATGCCAGTTAATTATAGTGAATCCATGTACTTGTGTCACGGCCAGCTCGGTGACAAAGCGTTCCACATGATGCTCGGATGAAAGACTGTTAGAATATTTTTACAGAAATATGCAGTGTTAATTTTGACACCGAGCACCTTGATTAGAGAAATCATAAAAACATATGTCACAGTAGAATACTGCCACCTTGTGGAGGAACACGACCAAATCTCTTTTTGTGATAAAGTGCTGCTTCTCCCATTAATCAAACGTTTTCCCTGATGCCACTTTTAACAGCTACACATG